AAAAAAAAAAAAAAAAAAAAAAAAAAAAAAAACAAAAAAAAGCGGGATATTTATTTAAAAAAAACGAAACTTTTAGAGAATCGGAGTTTTTGATAAAAAGGCTGAAATTCGAGAGGCAAAAATCTCATCCCTGTATAAAGGTCAACCAGTTTTATCCCAAGGAAACGATTTTTAGAGAAACTCCAGAGGGAGGAGTGTTGACTTCAATACTTCCGCTCCGCGGGAAATTAAATTCCTCATAAAATACTTTAACTTGTTCAAAAAAATTTTCAGCGGAAATTAGCGGTAAAAAAGGAAAAATCTGAAAAAAAGTGGAAATCCGCGAATCCGCGGAAGAATCACATCCCTGGTTTTACCTTGCTTCTATCTTAATTTTATGTTCGTACATTGTTAGAATAATTTTTAAGTTTATAAATTAGCCTAGTATAAATATGGTGAGAAATTATTGGCCTAAAAAGGATACTAAGCTTCTAGAAAGCAAAATTAGTGAATTTCTTTTAATGATTGAAAATGAAAATTTCAGTGTGGAAGCTGCTGCCAGAGCTGTTGAGTTGACATACCTTACTTAACTTTACACTTACACTTAATGAAGTTAAAAAATCCAGCAAAAGTAACCCATGTGGGAACTCTCTTATATTTCAGCAGAACATGAGAATGAGTTGACTGATTGCCTACAATGTATGGCACGATGCAAAGATTTTTGGAAAATTTAAAGCGTTTATCTTTCTTGCTTTTAAATAAGTTGTTTTATTAGCTGCTTAACCATATCTTTTTTGTTTGATCTTGATGTCTTATTTGTTAATTACCATTATATAATTATTTTTAAGCAGCCCCTTTACAATAAAAACTGGTGATCAGTAATTACCCCAGAAGTGATCAAGACCAGGGGTAATTCCTGATCACTAAAAATTTAAAATCTTTTAAATTCTAATTAGATTTTCAAACAAAAGAAGGTGGCATAGGACTCATCTCATATAGCCTCAAACTTCCAATAAATATTAAAATTTTATCTTGAATAGTTTTTTCACAAAATGGATGTTTGCATTTTTTGATCAGGAATTACCCCAGGTCACCCTATGGCTTAAAAACACAAAAATTACTAAAAAATAACATATATAAAGGGATAATAAGCTAAGAAAAAGACATTCAACTGTTTTTATAACTCCCCACTCTGTCTTCAATAAAAAAAATAATAAATAAAAAAAAAATTCAGAAGCTTTGATTTCTTAAAATTTTTAGCAGAATTGGCATTTTTTAAGGAAGAAACCGGAAAAAAAAACCAGAAAGAAAGTGATAAAACTAAAAATAACCAATACAATTGATTAGCAATGAGTATTATAAAAATGGTTTAAAAAATGATTTAATTTTATTTTTGTTTAATACAGAATTTTGAATTCTATTATAGGGATTTAGGAGTCTGAGTATTCACACTTAATTCTTGAATCAAACAGTTAACAGTATTTGATTAAAGAAATAGTATGCTATTTGCAATGGTGAATTCAATATGTGATTTGTAGTAGTGTATATGTAGTATGTGATTTGTTAATTTAGAAATGTTAAAATTTCATTATATTTTAACAGTTTTTCACGTAAACATAAAATAAGATTTTCTTATTCTCAGTTTTAAAAAATATTAAAGGGCAGTTAATTAAATTTCTTAAAACTTATTAAATTTATTTTTCTTCCCAATTGTTGCTTTTTAACTTTCACACATTTGAAAATATATTAAATAGTTTGGAAATAAATATAGATTACAATTATAAAGATATTTTAATATTTAATATTTCCTTTTGAAAAAAAAAAAGAGGTTTTTTTATTTTTTCTACTTAGGTTTTTCTTAATATTTTACTTATTTTATAAACGGAGTTAAGCAACCGACTATATTCTGAGTTTATAGCTATCAACGTTCCGGAGCAGTTTTCTCCACTATGATAAAAAAGATTTGCTAACCTTGTTTTTTAGTAGGGCCAGAAAAATTAAACGAGTCACGCCTATTTCTTCCCCTTTTTTATGGCATCCTGTTATACTTACCTACATAAGTTACTTCTTAGAAATTAAAAAAATATAAATATTATTCAGATGTTGATGCTGTCAGAAGGTAAGAGAAAAGCATTATACCACTGCCTTACCTCCGCCATCATATAATTGGGAAGAAAAAAGTGTTGCAGATATTTTTCATCCTCTAAGCTTCCCTCATTTGGAAATGTAAACACAAACTGTCCTGTGACACCAAAGTTTATATTATTTTAATTATACAATGTAATTTATACAAAAAATTATTGCATCTTAAAAATTCATTATATTTGGTGAATCTTGTGTCGCGTGTAACAGCATACAACTATTTTGTTAAAAATCAAAATTTTTGTTAACAATTAAAACTCTATTAAACCCTTTTTTTAAAAAAAGGGGTAAAAACTGAAGAAAGGAAATCATATGACTCCCTGCAATTTACGTTCTTCCTCACATGACCACCTGTTTTTCTCATGCAATTATTTATATAAGGAGTATTAAAAAAAAATTCCCAGCTTTGTTTTTCCATTAAAAATAAACCAGATGATTAAACTTCATGTTGAATTATAAACATAAACTTGATCAAGAAAAGTAACTGTTAATAAGACACTATAAAAATTTGTCAAGACCACGCCAGTACTGATTTTATAAAAAAATTCTGATACCATAAGCATTTTCCAACAATAATGTTTTTAATTATTCAGGAAAAAAATGTTTATAAATGATGAAGTTAACCCTAAATACAAACTGAAAAAAAAATGGAGAATTTCTTCCTTCACACACCAATAATTTGAGATCAATTTATAGAAAATTTTTAAAGACCTATTACATAAAAATAAAAAAATAAAAAATTAAAAAAAACAGAAAAAATAGTCAGAATTAATTAGTAAATATTCCTGTATGCCAATATTTTATTAAATTTGTCATCAGGTTCAATACTCCTGTAATCAAATAATTTTATAGTAAGGTTTTAATAATCTCGAAATAAAAACACACTGAATATGCAGCTTAACATTTTTGTACAGAAATAATTCAGTGGATGACCCCTAAATTCCCACTTTATAAATTCCATAATTACTGTTGTAGTGCAGATAGTAATAGATCATTTTTAAAATCACATGAAAGAGACAAATCAAAAATTGAGAAATTAAATAAACTCTACTCTACAAGATTTGTTATGGCATTTGCTGAAAATAATAAACAAAACTCCTGCTCAATTACACTATAAATATGATAATGCAAGACTGTTGATTTTTTTCAATTATTATTATTTTTTTTTACATAAAATGGCTGAATTCCGAGCAAATTTGTAACAATGAATCCTGCAGGTAAGGCTATATGCCTGAACCATGAACATGATAAACAGACCTTTACATTTGAACTCTTCGGTTTTGTTCGGCTCGGTTTTTTTAATTGGACTAGATGCTTAAAAATCCGCAATTGCATTCGTAGAAGATTAAATGATCTGAACATACACAAAAATCAGGAATATCAGGACACTTATGAATCCTGCATAAATTATTAGTACAATTGAAAACTTTAGGTGTCCTTGCTCTCCATCAAAATATTATTGAGTGTAGACCACTATAAAAATTATTTACTGAAGATATAACACTACATATTTTTAACATATTTTTTTACAACGAGATGTCTTAGTTATTCTTTCTTGATAAATTAACAAATTTCTAGAAAAATGTCTCAGTTTATCAGAAAGGATTTTTATTTTATTTTATAATCGTCTTTGAACAGATGACCCAATTTTTGGGGTTAACGACTACTATGTTCAACTCTGGTCTTGCAATTTTGAACCCAAACCCAGAAGACAAGGTAACTCCTGGTATTGGGAGAAATTTATCTTCGTGACGGACTTTTCGATGGAACTAATCCGCATTTGTGTTACATGAAGAAGAAAACCTCCCAAGGTTAGCCTCCTGACGATAAAAGGAAGCTAACCCATGATTTATCTACCACTGAGGATATTTTACGTCAGCACTGTGGTCGGTGCAAGCCGGATGTGGGAATCGTATCGACCAGCCATCGACGGGATTCAAATCCAGTTCACCTTATTGGCAGGCGAACGTTCTAACCCTTGAGCCATCACTGCTCTATCAGGAAGGATTGAAAAAATTTCATCCCGTGCAAACAAGAATTAATACATTTTATTTTTATTTTACACTCAATACAAAAGTTCATAATTTTCTCTGAGCATTTAAAAAATAAATAAATAAATAAAGAGGTAGGTTTTTAAAACAACTGGTTTCAAATATTAGCATTCAGGTATTTATTTTTATTTTTTTTTTTTGAAAATTAAAAGTTGACAAAAAAAAATGGATTTAGATAAATGCAATGCATTTTTGTATTAATTCAATGAATTAACACAAAAATCATAATTTTCAGGACAACTTAACTTACCATAATTGAAATTAATAATAATTCATAAGTTTTCAGCAAAACAATGCCCTAATAAAACAATTTTAAGTTCATAATGAAATAATTTCATCCTTTGAACCAATAAAGGTATCTCTCCCGATTTTATAAATCACAAACATAAGTTATCATAATACATTTTGAAAAAATATGTTAGAAAAATACACCATTTTAAAATTAATAACAGTCAGAAAACAACAATTTCTATAAGATTTAAAAATGTTTTAGAATTGAATGAGCTAGAATCCTTAGAATCTTGTCAAATCTAAAATTCTTAGAAATTAGGAAAAACCTAAATAGTCTAGTCATCTTTCTATATGTGCAGTCTCCACTTTATCTTTTTATATGCATAGTCCACTAAACATTACATGCATAATGCAGTAATTTTTAGAACAAATAATAGATAAAAATTAATATCAGTAAAAAATCTTAAATTTCCCACCTTCTTGAGTTTTTCAGTGATAAAATTGATATCAGTAAAATAACCCTAAATTTTTCACCTATTAATTAAAGCCTTGTCCTATAATGTAACTCTCCCCTTCTATTCATCAAATTGCTATCAAAATAAGTGACTTAATATAATTTTAATTCTACAATTATCACATTTAATCTGCTTTGCATCACAGTGAGTCTAGTATTGCTACATTTATATTTCTGCTATGCTTAGGACTCCATTATTAATGATTATTAAAGAAACTTTTTGAAATTGTTTATCTAACATTAAAACGGTACTTACGTATTAACGCAACCAGGTCAAAATTCACATAAATCGCCAAATTTGGCAACCCTACGTGTTATACGTGGTTTTTCGTAAACACATTACACATTACAAATTATATATTAAATAATTTCGACATTTTATATTTTAAAACAAAATAATATAAAAAACTGTATGTGTTATAAGAAATAATGCACTATATGATGTCGAAATAATATGTAATCTAAAAGGTTATTAAAATATATGCTTATAATTTTGTTTATAAAATACTTTGTTTTATAAAAAAAAAATTGATTTCAATTTTTTCTACTTGCACCAAATTTGGCAATTTATGTGAATTTTGGCCTGGTTGCGTTAATACGTAAGCACCATTAAAACTTTTGACAATATATAAATAAGAGATAGAGATTCATACCTTTTCAACATAGAAGGTTTAAAAATTGCTGTTTGTTACTTAGGTAACTATTATATAAAAAAAATAGAAAAACACTGTAAAAATGTGCATTAATCCCCTTACTCTTTTAAAATAGAAATAGATATAAATATGTCATTGCAAAGTCTTAAGCAAATACTATTAACAATAATTGAAAAACAAAGAGGTATGAGTTTTTTACTGTCTATTTATGGGTCTTGTGGGTATATGTCCCCTTCAATAATCAGAAATTTCTAAAAGTGCCCCTCAATATTTCAGACAAAGAAAGCAAATTTTCATGAATTGCTTTCTTTGTCAAAAATATTTCGAACAAAGAAAATGGTGAATTTGAAAGTTAGTGAATTGAAAATCTATTTCAATAAAAACAGGAGAAATCTTTAACAAATCTATCTTGTTCTCACAGATAAAACGAATAATATTGATCTCGCAGGAAAAAGAACTATTTTTTCTTAGGTACACAATTCAGAAAAATAATGACTGTGTATTTTAATTTCGTCCTCCTTAAAAATTAGGCACCTGTGACGCCCATCTGTTTACTTATAATGTTTTAATTACATATCTTGTCTCTACCAGAAAGAAAAAAAATATCTGGTTACAGCAACTACATTCATTATTGGTAGAAAACTTCATTGCAATAACAGCTAGAAACTTTAGCAGTTTAAAAAGTCATTAATCCGCAGAATAAAAGTAAAATCCTAGACCTAAAATACACTTGTAAACATAAACATTCAAAAAAGCATTAAGAGTACCAGAAACAAGAGGCAAATAACACTGAAATAAAAAATGCAGTTTTCATATTATTACATTTGAATAAACACTGCTTTTTTTAGTTATAACCCTCGTATCCTTATAGTTTAAGAGTAAAAGAATTGTTAACAATAACCTGTCAAAACACTCCTACAAACTTGACATATCAACAAATTGAAAGTGTAGTTCATTCCACAATTATTAGATTTAAGAAACAATTTCACAGGGCATGCAGACATTGAAATACAATTATCTTTACTTAAAATAAAGAAATAAATCTATCGATACAAAAATTTATATATTAATATTAATAATATGATTGAATTAATAAACAAATGCAGTTAAAAGAGAAAAAATAGTTTACCTTTATATGAAAACACACAATTCAAAGAAAGTGACAGTGCAAATCTTCAATATACAGCTCATGTTTACTTAAATTTATGCATAGACAGTACTTGAAAAAACTTCCAACCAAATAATAAATAAGTTTTGAGGTAGCATTGTCACCAAATTTTAGAGGAAAAATATAGTAATGATAATTTTCCGTACACTTTATTAATTAATCGTATTTCCATATAGGTTAGGAATTGTAATTTTCGTATAAAATAAAAATTGTTAACATTTTGAACTTCAATAATCCGCAACACATATGAAGGCGGCCATTACAAATGCCCGGACGTAATGTGCAATGACGTCATATTGAAATTACAGATATTTGAGATGAGAAAGGTGTTTCGTTTCATTTAGCTCAGAATTTTAATTAACTATCTTACTTTTTCTTTTACGAAAGTGAAACTTGACAAAGAAAAATTTTTAATTAATTTATTCATGATGGTGCATTTTGATATGTTTAAGCAAATGTGAATTTACGAATTGAGCATTTGTAATCAAAGCAGCGTTTACAAAATCGTTGTAGGAGAATACGAAACAGAAAGTAATTTTGATAGAAAACAACAGTCTGTTATTTAGAATTTGAATGATTTTCCATACGATATCTTATCAAAAGAATTTTATCTGCACTTCTAAATGAAATGAATCTGGAATTTCAAATTGATGACACGATTCTGATGCATCAAACTTTACAGTTGTTGAGGGCGCGTTAAGTTTTCGTTTTTCGTGTTAGGTTTTCAATTTTTATGATTTTAATCTGTCATCAAATCGCAGTTGTAATAAAAATTTCATTCATTTATAAATTAAAGTCTCATAGAGCATGGAAATGTCGGCCAATTAATCTGCGAGCAAAATATTAGAAGAGGGTTCAAGAGTAATTTGTTCCGCAGTGGACTCGGTTCCCAGCCGATCACCGAAGTCAAGCATCACTGGCTGTGGTCAGTGGGCGGGTTTGTGACCACTTAGATCAGTCTGAGTAAGGACCGAGGGTGTGCGGTATTGGTCCTCGTTGAAGTGTTCCACTGTAAAGTGCTCGACTTCGCACTCAGGTCGTCGGACTACCAAAGCGGGGGTACCATGCCCTCTGAAGAGGATCAAAATTGCGATGGCATGTCTTCGGATCTTCCTCAGGGATGTTTCCCAGACCGTCGCCAATAGCCCATTGTGCAGCTCTAGTGCGACGTAAATGAACTACAACAATCAAGAGTAATTTAATGAAGATCGAGCCTTTAAAGCGATGAGTAATAAATTGGAGTGAGTCAGTGAACGATGTTTAATCCCTTACAAAATTTAGATTTTCATTGCTTAACGTGTTTTTTTTTCCCCTTTACAATATGAATCAATCAATAGGGAGCCCTTAAATGTCGAGTCCGTGATGGAGAGCTAATGGTGATGCATTTTCATTAGTCCCACAGTGGACTGATCGTTAAGACGCGGTTCCCAGCAGATCACCGAAGTCAAGTATCACTGGCGGTGGTCAGTAAGAGGGTAGGTGACCACTTTGATCAGCCTGCGTCGGGACCGAGGGTGCGCGGTATCAGTCCTCGTTAAACTGTTCTACCATAAAGTGCTCGACTTCGCACGCAGGTCGTCGGGCTACCAAAGCAGAGGAACCATCCCCTCTGCAAAGGATCAAAATTGCGATGGCATGTCTTTGGATCATCGACTGGGACGTTTCCCAGACCGTCCCCAATAGCTCACTGTGCAGATCTAGTGCGACTTTAATGAAGTATCTACCTACCATTATTCATTAAGAACAATGCTACTGAAGATAAATACGATTAAAAGCTCCATGTCATGAGGACAGCTTACAATTGACATGAGTAGAAAGGATATTCTTTCTCTTTTAAAGCTAATATAAAGAGAAAGCTGATTTCAGAATGTTTTGGATATTGGCTCTTTTTAATTGTAATTTTGTCAGTAAGATTTCGAAAAAATACGTTGGTGATAGTAGCTTTTATTTTGAAACATATTTTTTAATTTCATTTTCATTCTAGAATAATAAACATTTTATGTGATTTCCAATTGATTCCTCGGCTTCTAACTAAGGTTTCGTGATGCAGTGTAGGTGGTAGTTTGCTTCTATTTTTGTTACTGTATTATTTTATGGTTAAGCGGGATCACAACAAGCGGACCTCTCATAGTTGTTGCTAATTTACTTCGCACTAGAGCTGCACAATGGGCTATTGGCGATGGTCTGGGAAACATCCCGGAGGATGATCCGAAGACATGCCATCACAATTTTGATCTTCTGCGGAGGGGATGGCACCCCCGCTTCGGTAGCCCAACGACCTGCGCGCGAACATAGTTGTTTGGTAGCTGTTGAGTAGAAGTCCTTTTTTGCTAAAAAAGTTTTTTACGGTTCGTTTGTAACGGAAAAAAAGTGGTAAGGCTTACAATATGTAAAAACATACTAAAAATGTTTTGAAATGTAGATGCAATTAGAAAATCAGTTTTAAAATATTTTTAATTCTTTTTGTTTAATATTTTCTGTTCCAGTATTTGATAATGCAAGTTAGTAAGAAATTGTTTTTGCCAAGCATGCCAAAATACCACCAAAGAATAACTACTGCCTAATCTTAATATTCTAAATTGCTAAGGACAAGAAAAAATTTTGAAAACAGAATAAAACAAATTTATGTTATCCCATGGTAGCAGAATTTATGGAGTGAATCTGCAATACTATCTTCATAACTTCAGATTTGTCTGTGATCTCAACACAGTCAAAGATTGAATATACTATATTAAAGTTTTAGTTCAATCTAACATACATGTAGCAACATTAACAAATATAAGGTACAGTGCACTCCCGATTATCCGGGTTAACCACCGGGACGGGTCGCACGGACAATCGAAAAACACGGATAATCCGAAAACTCCTTTTTATTGAAGAAAAAATGAACATGAGTACACAAAATATAAAAATTACTTACATTTGCATGCTGTATAACATCAGATTAGGAATTTAACATTTACAGCTTAAAAAAATGTGCAATGCGTCTTTCCTTCTGCTGTTTGTTCATCTCTTGCCGTATATTGACGCATATTTTACGTACCGTAGTAATGTCACCGTAATCAAATCCTCGTTCTCCCATATAATCAATCTAATAAAGTTTCCACAGATTGTAGAGCAGCAGAATCAGGAATTGTATTTCCCTCATTTATTACATCTTCTGCATCATCACTATTTGATTTAGCAACACAGTTAGTAACAATTTCCTCATCTGTTAAATACTGGATGTCAAGCTCACATACATCACTTTGAAACGAATTTTCCTCATCAAGAAACCTTCGATTTCTTTGCCTTGTTCAAAAATACTGTTATCATATTCTTCAATATCTGAAGAAGATTGTTCATCAAGCGATCTTTCTCCACGATCGTGATAACGTAGACTTTGACCATGATATTCCATATACTGCATCCAATTATGAATATTGATTTCAAATATTGTTATAACTTCATTGCAGTGATTATTATCAATAAAAACATTAGATTCATATTCTGTTAATAAATGGCGAGACTGATTTGACAAGATTTCTATTCATATATTTTACATGCATCATAATCTTGAAATTGTTTCTCTTTAAAAAAAATTTTGTGACTCCGAAAGGAGCACGGATAAACCGCAAACCGGATAATCCGCACACGGATAATCGAGAGTGTACTGTACTTAAGAATTACACTTAAAGATTTCATTTAAATTGAATTTTATAAAATACTAAAAAATGGAATAAGTCCCTATACAGTTAAGCCTATAATTAAATAGAAAAAATTCTTTACTTTTTGTTCCATTTGGTGTTTCTTAAATTTCTGTTCGAATAGTTAAAAAATGTTTTTGAAAGGAGTTTCAGCAATTTTCCTTCCATTTTTTTATTCTTAAAATAAAAACTTAGAGATAAAATCTGCAGATCGTGTAGCGATCCGCAGCTTTCACTGCTATCCTGGAGGGCTTCTGCGATTGAAATGTTACCCATTTATTGGAATAAAAATGTTAATTTGTAAAAAAAAAAGGAGCAGTTTTTGTAAATTAAGATAGTGTTATACCACATTAATTTAAAGTTGAATTAGTTTTATTAATTTAACTCATAACATTGCACTATCTTATAATACTCTACAAATATAAAGTAAATCTTCCATAATACTAATGTATCAGTTTTAATTTTGACTTCATTAATTTAACTAAAAAATTAGCAACCCTGTATAAAAAGAGCAACAGTTGTTGCATTAGAAAAAGAAAAAAAAATTGCTCATGAAACTATCAACGACATTCCTTGAATATTAAATTACTGGTCATTTGAGATGGGTTTTTCTGAAAAACCAAATTTATAAAACACCTTATTGTCTCTAGCTTCCTTTATAATTTTTTGAAAGGAAATAAGAAAACAATGGTGAGAATGATAATAAAATAAACTAAAGATAAAAAATTGGGAGAATAATATGTGAAGAGATAATTTTTTTTGTCGATTTGTTTTCTTTTTCATAATAAATTATATCGATTTTCTCATATTTTAGTTTGATTGATTTAGCTTATATTATTAAATGTTTCCATAATTTCTAGCTTGTGTTAAAACTTTTCAATAATACCAGAGAAATTTTTTACATTAGTCAATAAAACTTTTAATTCATTTTTTTGTAAGATTTTATCACGGTGAACTCATATATGCAATGTCAAGTAGTGTGACACAAAATTTTTTATTTATATAAGTATTTCAAAAAATCTAAAAAAAATTAGCTGAAAAAAAAAACAACTTTTAACATATCACCATATTTAGTTAACTTTTAATTATTACTGAATTTCTGATTTTGAATGCAATAAATAAATACATTTTATTTAATGTTAAATGCTTCAAGATAAGTCTAATTATTTATTAATTAAATAAATAAAAAAAATAAAAGATACAGACAAAAAAATACAAACCAATTCAAAATATTAATGTACTGATTTATTCTTCAAACAGGAACAGGAGAATTACGGATCTCTATATACATAAGAAGACATTTTAAAATAGCAAATAAGTATTTTTAAAACTACATAGTCTATAACAGACAGATTTTGTGATAACCGATACATTACATAGCTTTGCAGATGAAAGGAAACACAACAAAGCTTAAGTGAAATACATAAATTAGAAATGAAAACTAATTTCTCATATGAGAAATCAACTAATAAAAAAGAATTCAATAAATATTTTTAATCAAAAATAATAAATAAAATCACATGGTGTTCAAGTTTTTTTTTAAATCATAAAATAATATCAATAACATCATAAAAAAAAAACAGAACTAAAATGTAAACATCTGATTTCAGATTTGTTAGCACAGAATAAAATCAACTTTATATTGAATCACACTTATAGTTTATTTGTATGCATATTAACAGTTTATTTAACAAATGAAAAAAGACAAATATATTTAAGAGTTTGTCATTTTTATAAAATAATAAATTAACAGGAGAATATAAGCAAAACATTACACAAACATTATTAATATAGAAACTTGAGTTTAAAGGTATTAATTTAAGTATTTCAGTTAAATATTAAAGGGAAGTCACAGTTACAACATAGGTTATTGTTTCAAATAAACAAAATAAATTTTAAACATTACAGAAAATAACACACCTTTGACAGAACTTATTTATTTTCAAAGTAAGGTTCAATCCAGGAAAAAAATATAGAGTGAAAGAAAAGGAAAACAATTTCTAATCTATTTATGGATTAGCAGGAAAACTAAGCACCCAAAAATAAAAAAACTTACATTTTTATAATTTCTTTCAATGCTATTTAAAGAACAGTAAAAATATTTTGTTTACTTTTGAAAAACTTCATTGCATAAAGGTTCAGAGAAATAAAAATATTTTTAAATTTCTAAAATGTAATTCATTAAAGCATACAGTAAACAGTCATAAATTCAAAATTTTATAGCTTTACAAACAAGAGAAATAAGTTCCACAGATAAAGAAGAGTTCTGTTCTAGCCTATGAAAATTATTATTAAAAAAGGGGGGAAAATCATTTTAATAAAAACATATAATTAGAAACATTTTTTTTTATTTAATTAACTGAAGTATTTCCTAAAGTACAATAACAGTCAGCATAATTTAATAACCCTTCTTGAAAATTAGTTTACAATTTTCGACAAATGTGTTTCAATCTAGCTTTTGCATCAAGTGATAGATAGCATTTGTTCAAGCATCATTATTTCAAGAAAGGTGAAACATTAGTTTCCATTTATATTATAATGATTTCTAATATATTAACAACTGATGAAAAATTTGTATTAAACTGGATAGCAAAAACTTAAAAAAAATTTCAGCAATTAAAAAAAACAACAACAAAAAAAAAACATTCATATTCCGAAAAGTAAATATTCCAACTGATTTTAATTTCATAATTATAAATAAAAAATTAATCTTTTAAAGAACCCATTACCTTCATTTAAAATTAAAAAGGATACTCAGAAATACAGTTTCATAATATAAATCTTAAAAATATTTGACGGTAAGAAACATAAGGGTAATTTTTAAGATGATTTTTCCATAAATGTTCCAGCTATCACTATTTTTATTAAAATGCTATTCCAAAACAAATTTTACAGCTTTCTGCATAATTTAATTATTCTATATCAAAAATGGTTTAGTTTATCACAATGCATACATTATAAAAATAAGAAACATAATATTTTTGTTTTTATTCAAAACAACAATTCCCACTTTTATTTGATGAAAATAAACATGCCAGTTTATCTGAATTTCAAGCATTTTTAAAAATACTTTCAAAGTAAGAGAACTTAATAAGAAAGTACCTGTATAAGTAGACACGACTATTTATTAATTTATCATACATAAAAAAAATTCATAATTAAATGCTATTAAATATATCTTTCTTTCTCTATTCATTGTGGATGAGAAAAATGCAAAATATTCTTACTGTTTTTATTTACAGATAACAACTGGAGATTAAAAGTTTTCATTGTAATTTCTATTGCTGATTTATCTGAAAAAAATTATTATTCGTTGTAACATTCGTTAAGATAGTGACAAATGTTAACCAAATTATTTTAAGTATAAGACAAATCACAGTGGAGAAAGTATCGAAACACTAAAAAATAAATAAATGATACAAAATACTTAAATGAAGAAGTTACTATACACACACTCATTTTAGAGTACCAGCTCTTAGTAACATGTCACAGATGAAAATTTAGAAGGAAAAATGCTAACGACCTCTTTTAAATGTACAAAATTAATGTTTCAACAAATTTGAAAATAATTTCTATAAAACTCCATGGTTATGAGCCTTGGGCATACGTTGCCCTACGAACATCTTCTATTGCAGACACCCATTTCAAGGCAAATCCTTCAGGATCTTCTAAATAGTATGTACGATTTGGCTGTAAGGAATAATAAAACCTATCAGAAATATTTAGTAATATAAAAAAACCACACACAAACCTTATGGAAATGTTTTTTTACATTGTCTAAAATTTTGATAATTAATTTTATGCTAATCAAAAAGCTCTAAGGGAAGTCAAAAATTGACAGTTTTCAACATATAGCCATTGTGTACCACAAGTAGATACTTTTTATATGTACATAGCAATATTTATCCTATATATTCAAATCATAGCAATATTTATCCTATATATTCAGCCTATGGATTTAAATAGGAAAACTTTATGAATTGGTTTTAAAGTATAAATAATTTAAAAAATAATCTAGACAAGTTAGTTTTAGAAATGTTAATAAATTATAATTAATTCATATTAGTTATATTTTACTAAACATTTTAGAAAACTTGGTCACAATGAAAAGTAGATTTGCCTCACTACACGCAGGTGGGAGTGTAAAATGACTATATAACTCAAAATCAGTCCATGTTAGTGTTTTGTGTGAACGGAAGCTTTTGATTAGTAACATATCAAAATTTTAGACAATTCAATGCAGTTTCTTATGTAAAAAGCTAGATATAATTTTGCAAACAGTTGTCTTATAGGATACAACAGATGATACACTATCAATATAAGTGAAAATAAATGTATCAAAACACTGTAAATTCACTGAATATTGTGGTAATTTTAATTTACTTATATTCCTTATAATTCTTTTCTTTAAATCACAAATTTTAAAATTTTGTATGCATAGAATATTTTCTTCTTAATTTAGCTGTGAAAAAAATAAAAAGAGTAAGGCTTCTAGAGAAGTTTGACTGTTAAAAGATTTAGCATTTTTTTCCAACGTATGAACTCATGTTACTAAGAGAACTAGCTTTTAAAAACATGCTATCAAGAAAAACACTTCGTAATAACATGTTATCCAATGAAAAATATAAATCCAAGGAAGAGTAACACAGATCCAAACAATTTTGAAAATTGTTTCTATGAAAATCTATAGTTAAGAGCCTTGGGCATAAATAGCTCTACGCATGTCTTCTATAGCTTCTACCCATTGTGGTGCACTTTTGTGAGGATCTATTAAATAATATGTACGATTAGGCTGAAAAGAATAAAATATTTAATTATGACCTTTTTATATTTGAAAAAAAGTATATATATGTACAGAAATAAAGGAAAAGCAAAAAAGGTTACGGTGGTATCCTACTTTATTAGGTTAGTAATGTTATGTTTCAAAATTTGCGATTAAAATTTCGTTACGGAATGAAATTAGTTGAGTTTTAAAATATTAGATGTCTGAAAATATCGATATTACTCTTAACAATAAAAACTAAAATAGCAAAAGCTGAAAATGAAATGAAGTCTATAAAAGATTGAAGAAATCTTTAATCTTAAAGAATGTCAAACATTGACTTTTCATCAAGTATTTTTTACCTGTTGTGGGTAGTAATGAGAATTACCAATATTGTTTTGTTTAAAATAAAATTAAAAAAAAAAAAAAAAGGGTCTGTAAAGTAAGTTTCACAAAATGGAGTTACGTGGTACTAGAAAAGATGTTCTCTGAATATTTCTATAAAAGATTGACATTATTATAAAAATAGGCTATTGTAGAAGGTTTTCCTTGCTTTAAAAACTTTACAATTGATTTCAAGGGATGGAAATTGAAGTAAAATTATTGTTGTACTTTACCTAACACTTAACATTTTCAATTAAAATTTCCAACTTCTTTTACAACAATAATTTCATTTTTTGATTTATTTATGTAGGTATTAATTATTTAAAATTCAGTTATTTTAAGAATAAAATTTTAAAATAAGATCATATAAATATGGAAGAAAGTTTTTACTTACAGTGTGGACAAAGAAAATTTTAAAATTCTTTGATTCAGGTCGAAGTTCAGGTGACCTGCAATAAGAGGAGTAAAACTTAACAATTATAATTATAATATAAACAATCTTTATTCAAATCCATATAAATGTTAAAAAAACTAATTTAATTTATCAATTATTTGAAATAGTTAGTTTGAGTTTAAAGCACTAATTGCAATTAAGGAAACAATAAAAATAGAGACTGAAACAAAGTTTATAAGTTTCAAGATGATTACATTTTGTTTTTAATAAAGTTCAATAAGCATGTTAGGAATAGAGATTAAAGTTTTTAACAAATATTAGATTAACAAAAAATATAAAATAAGGAATACAAAAATTTGTTATTAAAAAAGCTGAATAAGCAAAAAAACAAAAATTAAAACCTTTTACAAAGATTAGAACAATAATAAAATGATTTAAGGAGAAAACTTCTAAGGATTGATTTAAGGAGGAACTTCTTTAAAAATTATTTTAAAAATTTTTTTTTTAAAAAAAGAAACAAACTATATAATGGTTTCAAAAATATATAGATCCACAATTTTTTTAGACAACAGAATATGCTTGTTTTAGATAATAATTTTAATATGATATGATAAAACTCTTACAATAATTTCAGCTGTCATCTTCATAATTTTTTATTTTAAAAAAGAGAGAGAAGCAGGACACCACTGAGAAAATACTCCAAAAATAGTTGCTTCATATATGAAATATAGTTTTCGTAATAGTTGCCAAAAGCACAAAATAGTTCCCCTTCCCTAACATATTCTTACAATATTTATACTTTAATGATATAAAATAATCCAAATAATGTATTATTTCCTCAAATAAAGTGTTCTGAATCTGTTCTTATGCAATATATGTAAAATTTGAATACTTTACAAACACCAATTTTCATTACACAATATTTTGCTTATTTACTTTTCTTTTCAATTTTTGGATTATAGTAAAATAAGTTTAACCTGAATGTTAACCATCATATTGTGGATGGGAAAAGATAGTAATGATGCAATCAAAGAAATCTTAAGACTAGTATCAAAAATAAATAAAATGGAAACCTGCAGAAAAGTGCCAATCCAGGAGTTGAATTTATATTTATAAAGTTTAGTATGAAAGGGCAGGTTGGAGGTTGGGGAAAAACAGAATAGTTGACCTCAATTTTAATTACACAAAATAAGGTATATATGTGTCCTGCATGAATAGTAAAATATGTCATTTAAAGGTAATTTTCAATAAATATTACTAGGAATTAATAAAAAAAATACAAAGGCAATCTTGTTAAACTTGATTGTAAATTAAATTAAATATGACAGTAATGTGAAGAAATGGTTAGTAGTCGAAATTACACAAATTAAAATATGATACAACTAAAAGGTGTGACAGAAATAAAATTACGAGTTATTTTTTTAAGTAGTGAATTAGTACAAAAAATCGCTGATTTTTTGCAACTTACTGCAGAATTATCATTTTTGCATATATTTCTGCAAAATTAACATTTTCTTTAAAATAGTCGTTTGTAATTATTTTTTTAGTTGTAAAAGGTGAAAATACTGGGAGAAAATAAAATTTTTTAAAAATTATTATAGTGCTGATTAAAAATAATTAAAAAAAATGCTTAGTGAATTTCCATCATTAAAGTTTATGCTGTGGGCACCATACTTTCATTGTAAAAAAAAAAAAAAAAAAAAAAAAAAAAATGTGAGTTATTATGTAAAACGTTATAGTTTTTGTCGATTCCACACTCCTACAATTCATGTTAAAAAGAGATATTTAATAAATGGAAAAAAAACTTATTAGTGACTTTTAGAACATCTAACAAATGTTATTCGGTGAATTGTCAACATCTCTCTAAAGTGCACATACCATGGTATTTCACCTTTAAGTACAAAACTAGCCGGATCAACATAGTATAAATGTGGACCAGTTGTTAAAAGTAGCATTCGTCTTCGAGCAAACAGTCCCTAAATAAGAAAAAAAACAAGAACATATGAAAATAATTATATTATTTATTTTTATGATATATTAAGCTATAGCATAATATTATGACATTATCTGCTAGATGTAATATGTTTTAAGTTGTGATTCATTTGTTTAAATTTTTTTTGTTATAGGAGATGCATAGGCACAGGGGAAAGAAACACACTACCAGTAGCAAAACTACTGTAGTCGCCACTTTTTTCATAGTCAGTAGTGTACTGCACCACTTTCAAGAAGAAGTAGGGTTATGAGCAGTGCGGAACAAATAATAATAATAATAATAGTATTTGTAGCAATTTTGGACAACTACTTTTAATAGTTTAGTAAAGAAGCAAAAGTCCAAATGAAAAATTCTCTAAAAACAGAGATTTGATGAAAAGATCAGGGTCTATTTTGGGCTACTACGTCAAAGAATTTCTCCTTTAACTATTTGCAAATAAAAAATTAATACAAATAAAAACATGGATAAATTAAAATTCTACTTGGATAAAAAAAATCTAATATTAAAAAAATATTTATTATTTGGGAGAAACTAAGCACGCGACTTTACACAATACAATATTTTCCAGAATATATTAACATTAGATGGAACACTTAAATTAGCCCAAAAGCAACTTTTAAAACAATTACAAATGAATAGAATTAAATAATCTACGCACCTTTCTTTTCTCGACTATACCCTGTTTTAAAATGAGATTGCCTTGAACAAATTTATGATACTCATTATGCTTTTCTTGCTCTTCTAACCTCTTGGTCATTTCCTCTGGTGATATATCTAAAATTGAAGGTCTCTGGACAGGTCTTGCAGCAGCTTCTACAGTTTCCTCATCCAGCTGTAAGCCAAAAAGTCTTGTCATTTGTTTGTCATCTAAGCCAGGCACTATATTATCTGGAACCTAGAAATTAAAATAACTTTGATACAAGCAGATACGAAGGGATTATAAGATATTTGAGAAACATTCTGAGGTTGCTTATACACCAAGAATATGAATAAAAAATTAGTCAAAACTAAATATTTTGAATAAGTTATAATCTAAATTATGTTCCTGAATGGAAGATTAAAAAATGCTCAATTCAATATTTTAATTATAAATTCAGAAATAAGTTTTACAGCAATAACTTACAAACAGAAAGAAAAGAAAAAAGCTTGAGAAAGATTTTTGGTGCTATAAATGTGGATGCCTTATAGAGACAATGGCATAGTTTTGAACTATATAAGCTATTCAAGCAAGCTGATATCAACAAATACATCAAAATAAGTTGCTTAAAGCTTGCGGGTCACATCTGTCGAATGGACTCTTCTTCATAGACATTTATGATCTTCAATTGCAAACCAATTGGAGGGAGCTAGAGTTAGAGGTAGGCCTAACAGCAGATAGCTTGACTGTGTTGAAGAGGAATTCAAAATCCTAAGAATTACTAACTGGAGAACAATTGCAAAGAAAAGGGAAGGCTCTGGCCCACAAAGAACTGTCATGCCACTAGAAGAAGAAAAATTTCTATGCTTTTTTTATTTCACAAACAAAATGATTTAGTATTGTTATGCAAATTGGATTGGAAGATTTCTTCATAAAAGCCAGCAAACTTGAAAAGAATTAAACATACGGATGCATTCCTTAAGTAAAAAAGATTATTTCAAAACGAAAAGACATAGAAAGAAATCAACAATCTAGGCTCTACCGCCTTTCTTTAGAAATTAAGTTCATACTCAAGCTGCTTCCTAACATTCCAGTATTAAAATTTTCGAGAATTTATTGTCATGATGATGTAGCTTGATTTTTGACAGAATAAATATTGCATTTGTGCCATTAATTATTTCTATCAAACAAAACAGGAAGAATATTATTCAAAGATTTCATTTATCATGATTTTCTTTAACAGATCAAGCAATAAACTGCAGATAAAATTACAATAAGTTAAAAATTTTAATATTTAAATTAGTAAAAATAAATATCTGAAAAATCAGTGAGTAAATTTAAAATCATGTTTAAAAAGCATATATATAAAAGTATATATAGTCAACCCATTCATCCTCATGTTTTTTCATCTTGTTTATCTAGTCATGTCGCAAATGTTGTTCATATAATATTAACAATATCAGCTTAGATCATTTCTGAAACTAAAAAATTCTTGCCTCTAACGTTCAGAAATTTTACCAACATTTGAAGAAAAAATTAAGTTATTCACCGCAAACAATTAGATTAGAAGCATGCATCACTTGTCTACAAAGCCACAGTTTGCCCGCTCCCCTTTAAGTAAAATTTACACAGAGACTAAATCTCACCTCGATGGAAGGTTTTTACTCTAGATATTCATATTAAACTGAATAACAACATTTTTTAAAACAATTTACAGTTCTTCTAAAACTATTTCTGTATTTAATTACTCAGGGAAAGGTCTAAAAGTTTAGGACCATGTTACATAAAAACTGTATATCTATGAATTGATTTTGTTTCTGCCATAAGTCTTCTTTCATAGAATATTAGATACTAGTCTAGTTTCGGCGAAGGCAGTATATAACCTTGAAAGTTGTGTACATTTTCTGTTTAATGCAACTTTTAGATCACACCAAATGTACTCCATATATATGTTAATTTTTTCAGATACTAATCATTAGAATGTATTGACAGAAATATATAACTTTGTTCGTCACTGTTGATGTAAGTAGATTTTGAAAGTCAAAGTCTAAGAAAAGAGATTTGAAGATTTTCGAACCTTTTACTTTTGATGTAAAAGTCCACTAAAAGCAATTATGTCTTAATAGTTAGTGAAGAAGTAGTAGGATATAAAATACCACGGCGTGGTTCATTTATTTCACAAAAAGTATTACCACATGTAAATATATTTGTTTTTCTCCAAATATATAGAGACAAAAAATGTCCCCACAGAAAATTTTTTTGCTTTCACAAAAATCAAAAAAATATGTGTTTAATAGTTTTATATAATAAAGAACATATCCGGAAAGTTTCAGCAAAATCAAATCTGTCAAGTATCTAACCATGGCTGATTTTTAAAAACAATGGCTCTTAAACCAAAATTTCTGTATATTTCTTAAACCAAAATTTCTGTATATTTTAAACAGATTTCTTTTACATTGTAAATAGTTTTGCAGGAAGAACATAATTTTTTACATTTATTATAAATTTTTTAATTTTCCAAATCTACTTCTTTATTACTCATCTTTATAGTCCTTTTCCTAATTTATGTTGACCTGTCTCTTTCCGTTACCTATCATTCACAATGAATGATACCATGCGAAGCAAACAATCAAGGGTCTACTGTAATAATTTTTCATCATATTATTTTTAGAATAATATTTTATTATTGGAGTTTGACATATGTTTATATTATAAAAAGGAAGAAAAAAAAAGAAGAAAAAAACTAGCTAATGTCATATTTTATATTCAAAACAGGTTTATAACAAATAAATATAACAAACTGTATGAACTACTTAGAAAATAAAATATCAATTAATGTACTTGATATTGGCTCCTTAATTCTTCATTACTAGAAGTTCCTGGTAAATATGGAAGTATTCTAGGGGGATTACGCTCATGTAAATTTTCCCAAGGAATATCACAAAGGAAAGGATGGTTTCGAATGGAAGGATAGCCATTTGTATCATTTGAACCAATACGTTGAGATGGCTCTAGGACCTATAAAAAATGGAACTCATTAATTCTTGCATGGCAAATATGTCAGACATTTAAAAAAAGTTCACAACTAGTTCTTCTTGAAATATATAAATTACAACAAATATAGGGAAGAGGAGGGCTAATATGGACATTTTTTACACATTTGTCAAAAAACTTTATTAAATGTAATTTTACTAGAAGTATTTTTAACAATAATATGGATGTTTTATTGCATTCTGATTTATATCCAAACAAAAAAAAGTTGCTTAGTTTTTCAGAATAATTTTTTAAAAAAAAAGGCTGTTTTAGTCCACACTAGCCCCAGTACACAGAGCTGTGGATAAATTTGTTTAGTCATTTTTTACAACTCAAAAAGGTAAATCTAAAGCCAAAATGAATTTAATTTGAATCAAAGCCTTATTGGATATTAAATATTGACTTAGATTAATTAAAATACCAGTTTATAACAGAGCATTTTACCATATTAAGAAAGACATTTTGATTGCAAATGAATACATTTTAAAACCATTATTCAATTTAGTTTATTTGAAAAATATTTTGTTATTTTTTATTTATATTTGTACAAAGAATTGAGTTGTCAACTTTAAATGTTTATTGAGACGCAAGCCTGATAATTCTACCAGTCACTTGCGATGGAAGTTTGTAGACTATTTCTTCGCTTAAAAACTGAGATTTTTCTTCTTTCTTTTTCATGAAAAAAAAAAAAAAAAAGATCATCTTTATTTCTTAAAAATTTAACATCACAATCTCTAAATCTACAAACAACTTTCATTCCACCAACATAATGCATAATACTGTTTTTTAGTTCCCTTTCTGAAAAAAAAAGAAGAAAAAACTTGTTTAGCACGAATTTGTTAAATTCTATTGATTCAGTGCTGTCAAGAAGTTTCAATTTATTTACATCAATCTGATATGCCTTGGATTTAAAAATAAAAAATAAAGTTGCTAACTAATAAATGAAAAAATTCATTTAAAGCATGCCCACACAAATCAGACCGTTATGTATATGTTAATAAAAGAGAAAATAAAAAATTTGCAAGTTACTTATGTAAGTTTTTTTTCTTTTTTTTTCTTTAAAGAATATGAAGGACAATTTTTTTAAAATAACATGCATATGAAATTAAGTTAGCTTAAATATTGTACAAACAGTTCCTAATTTTTCTCTGTTAAAGGACTTCGTAAAGGTGCTAAAATTTGCAAAATAAACAAAAAAAACTTGTTTATACACTTGTTTGCAAAAAAAAATTTTTAATTTTCAAAAAGTAAAACATATTGCACAATGTTTTAGAACTGTAATTTTTAGTAAATTATAGCAAAAATAGTTTTTCTTAATTGATTTATTATCAAATTAGGTTAATTCACAATACGTATATTTTTTCTCTAACTGATAAACATTTATTGATACTATGAGAAAAATTGCAATACACGTAGAAAAAAATGATTTTAAAATTCCTTGTCTGCTTTTGGGATATAACTATATGCAGCCATTATTCAGTATTCAGCCCCTTTTGACAAATATTTGGCTGGCCGAATATTCAGCAAAGCAGCAAAGTATTACTTGGAAAATTATTTCTTGATAAATTTGCTTTAGGGGGAAATTTTAATAGATTTAATAGGGAATAGCCTAAAATCGTATTTTTAATTATACATTATTAAAATTAATAATTTTTACATACAATTGTCATGTTCTAAAATTTAGTAATTTATGTTCTGAAAGATGCATGGAAAAGCAAAATTTGAAGAATCGAAATTAAATTACTTTATACTGAACCACGAGTTTGGTAAGGCTGATTTTTTTTCCTTTTTTAAATTATATTCAGGTAAATCAATTTCATTGTTTTTGCTTTAAATTATAGCGAAGCATGTTAATGAAAAGTTTCTAATTAACTCAGTTCTTTCATTATCCTTTTTTTATTGTACAGTAAGACAGATAGCTGGTAACATAGAAAACTGTGATTCTCAATGTTTAAGTTATATTTTTGAACCAAGAACAATATCGTTCTGTTTGACTTTTTATTTATTAAGTTTTCTTTTTATCAGAGTTTTCATTATGACAGCATTTTTTAAAGAGCACTTTTAATGGACAATATTCTCTTAAGGTCACTTTTTTCTAAAGATACAGCAAAGTGAAAAAGTCAAATTGAGATTTTTAGGATTATATCTTTCAATTAAAAATTAATAAAATTTTTTACTTTGGTTTATACAGTGTTTTCACTACAGCGCGAGAATTTCGCATATTTTTTTTCTTTCTCGCATTAAGAAATGATTACCGCGAGAAATTCGCGCATTCTATAAATCAATTTCGAAATTCGCGAATTTCTCGCCTTTTAGAAAAAGCTTCGAATTACGCCATTTAGAATAAAATCCGTTTCACTTCCCTTCCTGGATCTTTCATTATCTTCAACATCTGCCCCAAGTTATCTAGCTTCCCTATTTACCAGTATTGTTCAGAACCTTTTGGAACAACAGAACACAACCACGGAACCACTTTCAGAACATATTTCTCTGCAACTCAACCACGTGTTTACGGTAGGTAAGGTTTCTTCATGTAAGACGTTCAAATTTTTTTATGTACTAATGTAAGATAGACAAATACCAAGTAAAGTCGAAATCTTTTATGATGATGCACCAAAAATATTCAATGCTTTAAAAAATAGAAGACGTTAAAAATTTATTAGAATTAAAGAAATGATTTTTTTTTCAAGAGTTTTTGTGTTTTTTTTTAGTTTTTAGAAATCTCACTTAACTTTTTGAAATCTCACCCTGTTTTTGAGAAAGGGTGAGAAATTCTCACTCATTTTTTTTCTATGATGAAAACACTGTTATATCTAGCTTTTTTTTATTTTTTTAAATAAAATTATGTTTTTATTGTGTCACGGCAGTTAAGGGAGTTTCTATTAGACTTTAATCTTCACTTTTTCTTGAAAATACTGAAATAGGAAAACTGAAACGTTTAGCTTTAAAATTTTCTTTCAAAAATGAAGATTGATTTTTATTTTTTCTGTTTTGCTTTTGTATATAATCTTTGTTTTTTATAGGAGTTTTTATGATAGTGCTGCTTTTTTAAAAACGTGTCTGATAGACATTATCTTCTTTAATGTTTAATAGAAATTTATTTTCTGTTATTTTCTATTTCTGTTCTATTTTCTGTTTCTGTTCTATTTATTTTCAGTTTTGTTTTAGTGAAATATTGATTTTGCATAAGAAGTGAGACAGTATTTTCTCTGTTTAGTATGGCATTATGAGTACATATATATTATGGCATTCATTAAAAAAAATTAACATCATTGTAAAAATTTTAATTGACAGAATACAACCATGTTTAGATTCAAATTTTATAGTATTCAGCTTTAAGTTACACAAATAAGTAGATTCTCTTCAATGATTCTTAAAGGATAGTAAGAGAGAGAGGAAAGACTTATTGATTCTTAAATGTTAGTAAGAGACTTACTAGTGAGTTTCAAAGCAGCGATGTATAATAGATGAAAACAAATTATTTACATTAAAATTTATTAAGATAAATTCAAGCTAAGAATTATATTCAGCAAAATGTTATAATTTATTTTTAAAATATACTGTTTTCTAAAGCAACATAATGAATTTGTAAAATACAAACCAATAACTTCTCGACAAGGTCTTTAGCAGGAGGTAAAAAACCATCTGGGAAATCATATTCTAATTTTGTAATCTTTTGAAATATTAAATATTCATTTCTAAAAAGAAAAAAAAAAATCAAAAAATTTTAAAATTTTCTTTGTAAAAACATTGAATAAATAGTTTAAAGAAAATTCTAATAATACATACGGAGCTCGAAATGGGGGAAGACCTGAGACCATTTGATATACAATACAACCCAAGGCCCATAAATCCACACTGAAAAAAAGTAAAAGTAAGATTAATGCTATTAAGTCAAATTTTTATGCATTTTACTAGGGGAATCTGCACTTTATTTCCTAGTGCTTGTTAAACTAACTGCTTACCTAGTTATTTTTATATAACTTCACAGTACTTAAGCTATCAAACATTTTTCTGATTTAATTACATAATTTACTTGTTGCTTAAATGCAAATAAAAATATTATAGTATAAAAAGCAACTACCTTAAGTTTGCAAAAATTATCCAATAGATAAAGTGTGGAAAAAAAAAAGAAAAATAAATAAATTACTTATAATACAATTTCACAAAATATTAGTAAATGATTAATACTATATTGAACAGAATATTAGGGAACAATTTTAAATTATATTTTACCTGGGAGAAGCACTTTTATCACTCAGCATTTCAGGTGAAACATATTGTGCAGTTCCAACAAATGAATTACTTCTTGTATTTTCACTACTTGAAGCTACAAGTTTAAATAAATAGCCATGATGTATTTTGTCCACTGACACAAAGAATTTTTAAATAAATTAATATACTGAAACTTACAGTCACTATTTTCAGTACTGATGACTTTTGCTGAACCAAAATCAGTTATTTGAATATGCATATTTTCATCTAACAGTATATTTTCTGGTTTTAAATCTCTAAAAAACAAAAAAAGAACAAATTATTTCAAAAGCAAAAGGTGTTTAAGAAATATTTATAAGTGTAAGTTTTTGTTATCAGTAAAAACGTATCACAATAAAAATTAATTACAAAATGCATAATTTCTATTTATTTCATAAGATACATTGAAAATCTATTTCTAACTGTTCATTGAGCATTGGATTTAGTATTTTACAAAGAATTTTAAAATAAATATGATTGTAAGAAGTTAATAAAATACTATAAGCAGCTAAGAGATAGAATAAAAACACTATCAAGTTAAGAGCAAATTCCAAACTAAAACATAGACTAATTTTTTTTTTTTTTTTACAACTAATCACAAATCAATTAAAAACTTTTCGTAGAATAAATTGTATAGAATTTACTTTATTTCATCATTTTGATGCATAAAAATACATGATTTAATATAAAATTTAAATTTGGAAGATTTAGTTTAAGCAAATCAAGTTTATTAACATGAATATTTAATTAAAAATGGCTTAATACCATCTGGAAAACTTAATCAAAATTGGAAAAAGGGCTCATATAACAAATTTTTAATAAATTATTAAAACAGAAATACAGAATAATAAATAAAAAAATAATTTGACTATTACTACAAATTTCAAGTTAACTATATAAAATTTTAAAAGAATTGAATAAAAATATAAGTGCCTAAGAATTGACTCATAGGAAAAAGTCAGGGCTTTGGAGTTGAAGTTAGGTTGATTTTCAGAAAAAAGGAGTCAGAGTAATGAAGTCACTAAAAACACTTAAACTCCGACTTTAGTTTTTGATGGAATTTGAAATGAAATTAAAGTGAATTGAAAAATTTAATGATAAACTGAGTTATTTTTATTTATAAACTTTACATTAATAAATATTTACCCGCTTCCTATTTTATTGGGATATTAATAAATAAATGAAGAAAAAAGAAACTAATAGTTTGCTAGACAACAAGATCTTACTAGGTTAAATACATGTAGATCCAAAACACTGTATTTTGTTGGACGACAAACAAATTTAAAAAACAACGAAAGCCATCAATTAACTTTTACTAAGAATGAAATTATTTTCAGAATAATTGGAATATTCAAATCAAAACAGTTAGACTGTAGACATTGACTGAGTCTCTATCCTCTCTCTCTCTTCCTATAATGAATTAGATTTTGAGAAATATTTGGACAATGAAAATAAAAATAAAGAACCAAGAGACTTTAGATATAAAAATGAAAAAAATACAAACAAATTTCTACACAGCCTTTGAAATAGAGAAATATGATCGCTCTTGCAAGACTCTTCTTGTAGAACTTACAAAAATCCATCCTGAAAAATTAAAAGAAGTAGCCCTAACTGTAACAACTGTTTATCCTACTTAAGTTAATGTGAAAAGACTATTCTCTGGGTCTAAAGTTCATCAATTTGGATCTATTGTCCTCTATCAAAGAAGATCTTGCCCAAGCTAAACTGTTCCTCAGAAATTACTAATGCCAAGTTTTCCCCTTCATCATAAATTCTAACAAATTTAAATAATCTGCTATGTTTAAATTTTTTTTCCGTAGCATCTATTACTTTGTTTATATTTTAAAAAATAAGCTATAACACATGTGCATATGTTTAAACATACATAAGGGAATCAGTTTCAGGATCTTCATGTTTAAATTTCCAGGAGTCAGAGCCAATTATTTTTAATTCGACTCCACAGCCCTGGAAAAATTAAACCTATTCCAATATATAAAGTAATCTTATTTTAGGTTGAAATTATTAATATAAGAAACAGAAATTACCGATGAATGATGTTTAATTTGTGAAGATGCTCGATTGCCAAAACTAATTCTGCTGTGTAAAATTTAGTACATTCTTCATCAAATGAGCCAACTTTTACTATGTACGGTAAAAGTTCTCCATGTTTTGCATAATTCATTACAAAATCTTATTAGTTAAGGAACATAATTTGGTATCTAAATAGCAAAAGTGTTAATAAAATAGATAGATAAAATCTGCAGGTTGAAACAAAAGTATTTTGCAAAAATTTCTCAATTATAGCATTGATTAATCAAGAGATGCCTGATTTTGCTGAAAATTTGAATTTGCATAATATTTTCATGATGTTAAAACAAAAGAGTTATAATAAACTGATACTAAAATTTTATTAATATTTATAATATATAATTTTTTATGAAATCATTTTAAAAAATGCAACAGATACTTAAACAATAAAAATGAATTAATAAATCACTAAATAGTTAAAATAAATGAAAATTCAAAAGTATAATTTTTACAAAATGTTCACTTTATAGAATTCTTGAAATTTTCGAGCTTTGTTTAACATTATACTTATCTTCAGAAAATAATCTTTTTTCTTTTACTGAATTAGATATTAAAAATGCTTTTATTATAAGACTATAAAATTTAAACTTTCATATTATATATATAAAAAAAAGAACAATCAATAATCAATCAAGTTACTTAAATTTAGAGTACAAGGACAATAGCTTTAGAACTAATATATGCCTCTCACATACATCAATTGTTGACAGCTGAATTGGCTGTTGAAATGAATATTCTAAAGAAGTTTTTTGAACTGTAATTCATTATTTTAATTATTTTTTTGCATATAAATTATATTTCAGAATTAGATGTCATATATTCATACACACACATATATATATCTATATTTTTCTTTATTTGGCCCTAGTTTTATAGCTATGCATTAGTTTGTTTCATTTTAAATTTGTCAAATGAAGATAAACACAGCACTGAATTTTATTGCGCTTAGAAGATTTTCACTTCAGAAAGTTTTTGTGTAAATATATATGTAGGCATATACAAATTTGATTCTTAGTGAGAACAAAAAAATTTAAAATAAAAAACATCTTAAAATGATTAAATATGAAATATTTATATTAGAAAATGAATAAAATGAATAAAATATATATAATTAAAGTTAAGAGGTAACATAATAATACTACTAAAACTAATGAAAGCTGTTGAAATATTTTTGAAAACACCTTTAAAATATACTTTAACTTTTAATGCTTAAAGATTGGCTGAAGAAACTTATTAGCAATGCTCTATCTATTATTAAATCAAAAGAAATAATGTTTTAGTCTTTAAATGTTTTAAGTGACCTTGAACAAAATGCCAAATTGAGTTAAAATAAATGCAATCATAAATAGTAAAAATTCCTTTTTAAAATAAGATATTTCTAAATAGAGGCAGCTTATAATAATCTTACAAACATTTTTTTCTAATAAAGTGATTTAAATAATAAATTTATTAAAGGATACATAATCTATCAGCATCTTGAAATGTGCAGTACAATTTAATGAAAAAAGGGCTAGGATGATTATTTAATATGTTCATAATCTGTTTTTCTCTCATAACAGCTTTCTGTTTCTTTTCCCGAAGAATATGCGTCTTTTCACATACCTTAACTGAAAAGAAGAAGGATTAAATTGAAATTTAGTAATTATTAATAATTAAATTATTTATAGAACTAAAAGCTTTATTTAAGGATATCTTTTCAAAACCAAACAAGAAAGATAAAATGATACTAGGAATCCAAATATTTAAAAATATCGTAAATACTAAGTAGTAGCGCTTATAGGCCAGGTCAGCTGGTTTTTATTGGAAAGAACAGCTTTTCTTAAAATAAATATCAGTTTTATTGGTTTTTTAATATTTTATTATACAAAGTTAAGATATATGTATTTAAATTAATTTTATTAATGACAATTCAGTAAAATAATAAAGTAAAATATGTTAACTTTACTTTCTCTTGAGGGCATTTATTCCATAAATAGGTTAATTTTATGATATAATTGTTGCTCCAAATTAGCTTCAAAATCAGATATTTTTGCCTGAAATTGTTCTAAACGCATTTCAATCATGTTCTAATTCACCCAAACTGTACTTTAAATTGAGCTTTTGTATAAAACTGTACATGATTTGTTAGAAGTAATTATTATTATTCATATACTTATGTTGTATTGAATAAGTTGATTTCCCAATAAAGTTAGTTCTGAGTAGCTTAAACTTATTGTTCTTAACTCTTCCAAGGTTACAGTTATTACTTCAAACTATATCAAAAGTGCAAAGTAGCTCCCCCAAATTGTTTATAAGATACTATTTATAAGCAATTCGGGGGAGCAACTTACAGTATAATTAACAATTTTTTTATCCCTTTTATAATATTACAGTTTTTGAAAAATATTAGTTCTAATAAGAGCCAGCTTTTAATTTTAGACAGTATTTTTTAGGTAATTAGAAAAAAAGTTTTATTTTGCCTGGTTAAAATCCTGCCATCAATCCAGCTAAAGTTCCGTCACAACTTGAGATACAACAAGCTGTATTATACAATTTCTTTAAATTAGAGTCAGAGAAAAAAAGATTAAGAGAAAGTTCTTAAAATTATAAAGCAAAAAATAATTGAGAAAACAAAATGAAAAATTGAACTCGAACTAAGAAATCATGAGAAAAGTATAGGGGAAAAAATAAGCTTAAATTTCAAAATAAAATTAAAATCATAGAGTTAATATTAATTATTATTGTAAATACTAATGACTTACTTGCATATTCTTTGTTAGAGTGAATATCTTTTGCCAAATAAACCTACGGATAAAGTTACTAAGCATTAGATAAAAAAATTTCAATAAGTAAAAAGTATAAATTCAAAATCATTACTTAGAAAAGATGAGGATACATGCCTATTTAATTCCGTTTTCAAATTAAAAATAATGTGATAATTATAAATTTTTAAACACCACAGCAAATCAATATTCTGAGTGTCAAATATAAGATTCACAGGTGGCAAAGTGGAGTCATAGTAGAAGAGTTGTTTGACTCTAGTTAGTTATACAGGGTGTGTAGCCAAATCTTTGAATCAAAAATAAGCACTTTTTAAAAAATTTTCAAGCACTTAACAAAAATTTTCAAGCACTCAAAAAATTCATATTCTATCAATGATATTATTGAAAAACAAAAACTTTTTATAAACAGTTTTAGCGTCAAAAAAAACCCAAAAGGAGACGGGCGTAAATCGAAACAATCAGTACTTTCCCATATCACCGAGTGAATTCAACTTGACCCTGAACTCAGAACAAAAGTACCCTTACCCCCTACATCAAAAAAAGTGTTAGAAGTAAAATAAAATAAACAAGAACAAAATTAAAAAGAAAAACATTTAATAAAGATCTGATATTCTCTATCCGAATTGGAGCACTCGGGTTTCGGTTTCAAGTGTGCGCGCATGCGCAAGTCATAACGTGGGTACGACATAGTCCGCGTGAATGATCACGTAGCAAACTCCCCATTTTTCGTGAAATGCATGGGATCCACCAGATATCACTGAAGGGAAGAAAAAAAAATTTCGGAAAAAAAAGCACTTTTTAAAAACGCCAGCTGAAAAAAGCACCTTTAAAAGCTTTTAAAAATGAAATCCCCAAAAAAGCACCTTTAAGTACTTTTTGCAAACGCTACGCACCCTGTTATAAGTAAAGTCTAACAAATTAAAAAAAAAAAGAAGTTTTTGATGTTATAAAACTCATTTAGACAAATATCTATAATTAAATGAACAAAAACATTAATCGAAAGAATATTATAATAATTAAACTCACAACTAATCACATTTGAATGTCTTTGAGACTAAGTTTTGTAGAACAACTGAAAATGAACGCAGAAAAATTTAAAACAAATTATCTTAATAAAAAAGTTATTATTAAGTTATCTTTTAATTCAGAAATTAAATAGCCAAATTTATTTAGCACAGGAAAAAAGTTAATTAAAAAGAAATGTAAATGAATTCAACGTATCATTTGTAATAGTTTTCTAGCTCATTAATAAATATTTATTAAAGAATCTTACGGTACATTTTTTTAAAAATTTTCTCCAGCTATTATATTATAATATGAAGTTTAATTTCATTCAAAATACCTTTACCTTTAATTGTACATAACAAAACAGATATATCATTAATTAATACTTAAGTTTCTGCAAAATTTTGTTCATTTTGGCAGACAAATAAATATTGACTTCATAAAGGAAATCAATAAAAAAATATTACAAATAATTTTTATCACGCTAATTCATGAAAAAGTATGTAATTTAGTTAAAGATATTAATTAAGTCATTATTTTGAAAAATATTAACATGCATTATTATACATTGGAAGATACGGGTGATAATTTAAAAAAAGTAGCATATCTTATCTTGGGAGAAAAAAAACACTAGCCACAGAAGATTATAACTATTTTAAAGAAATTAATAACCATAGAAAAAGATCCTTCTCCAATGACTTTCCCAAATCGGAAATCTTTAGCAGATTTCTTCAGAGGAGGTTTAATAGGATTTGGTGGTGCTTGTTCATTCAGAGTAGTAGCACTTGCTGTTCCAGGTGATCCATCCAAATTTTGTATACGACATTCAACAGACTGAAAATATGTGCAAGATTTGACTTTTAACATTGTAGGCGTAAAAAAGATATAACAATCTTCACATAACAAATCAAAAAAATTTTTTTTATTAATTTTAATGACATACAATTTCTAAAATGGTGATTTGAGTTGTTCACTAATTATTTAAATATATTATTTTATATTTGACATAAACTGGAAGTTGGGGAAAATCAACTCAGGTTTTATCACTGCTTATTGATAGCAAATAAAACAAAACTGAAAAATAATACATTATTGGTACAGGTAGAAAAAGTATTTTATCAATATTTAAATGATTTTTAAAATGAAAGAAAACGTGAATTATTTTTTTTAATGTTCTTCTTACTTTAAAATTATCTTTGATTATTATTTTTAACTCTAGCAAAATTTCAATACACATTCTTCCTTTACTAATTCCAAACACCAATTATAATCAAGTTAACATAGGTTTCTAATTCAATGCAAATGCAAGACTAAAGTACTGCACTTTAACAGTTAACAAAACCAGATACTGATATTAAAGTCTCTCTCTCTCTTTTATTTATTATTTCTTGTGTGTGAAAGAACACATAATTCCATAACTTTAATATTAATTTTTTATATTACGGCTTGTAATGAGGTAAACATAAATTTTACTCTTCAAGTTCACCTTATTCTTAATTTTCCCTTCTTGCACGCCAATGCCTGATTATCATTAAAGTTTTAAGATGGATTAACAACACAAACTTTCTCTATGACCTTCTATTTTTGATTCCATAAATAAACCCAATCCAAAACAATACACTGGCCTAAATTATTTCGTTACATACTACCACAATTAGAAAGTAAAATCCCAATTAGAATATTTTTTTAAAATAAAAAAATATTTATCATTTTAGCAATGCAAACTGGGAAGCAATTCTGAAATAGCAGTTTCCAAGCTAGTTGAACTGGAAAGATTTCTGTATCAGCAATAAACAATTGCCAAGTTCAGATGATAACTAGGTACAGACACAAAAGAAACTATATAAAATATCATAGAATGGGAAAAACATGGAGATAAAATTTGTAGCAACATGCAAGCAAGCCACTATATATATATTTTAAAATAGATAGTAAGAATAAAATATTTTTGCACCATAAAGAATGCAGATGATGTTAAACAACATAGTTACAGAAAACCCCAACGCCAGTGAATTAAAATACATAAATGGAATATATACTAAATCTTCTTTTTACATAAAACTTTAGAACAGAACTCAGAGACCAATCATTACTTGGGAAGATTTCTGTATTAATACCTCCACGAAAATATAACTGGACATGTGAAAAACTGGTATACTTGCATATGAAAAAACTAAAAAGACTTTACAGATGGGAATCAAACTCTAATTGCATAACTAGTAGCCATCAACGGGCAAACCATTACATTCTTTATTCAAAATTTGTAAGTACAAATACCCTTTGGAGATGGTAGTTGGCACAATCAGAAAATGATATGGTATATCTCCATTAGGAATTGAATTTTTTTTCTTCTATTTTCAGCATAATAAAAGTTGTGTAAAAAATTGCAAAAGATAAATATGTAAAATTAGATATCGTAGCTAAACTAGATCAGATCAGATATTAAGAACTTTTCTAACAGTTTGGTACCTGAAAGGATGGTTTTTTGAAGGATATTTCCGCATCGTGATCTGTCGTACCAACTATGCAACCATAACGAGTTATGCCTTTAGAGTTGGTCCCTTTCTGTGATTTTTTATAAAATTTCTCGTGGACCTCTACCCGGAAATTGCCAAGACTTGGAAATTATTCTACTACGGGTCACGATATGGAAATCTCCCCGTGGGTATATTCTGCGATCTGTGGAGCCAATTCCAATCACCAAGGTGCCAAATAGATTTCAAAACATGCAAATCTTTTTTAAAAAAAATTTAGATGCTTGTTTGGGGGTGGCTATGAGTTATACCTTTCGAGTTAGCCCATTTCTGTGATGTTTTTTTTCTCTTTCCAATTTCTCAAGGGCCGCTGCCCAGAAGTTGACAATACTTTTCAATAATTTTGCCACAGATCACGATACTGAAACCTCACCCTCCCCGTTTTTCTATGTAGATATGGGGAAGATTTCGGAACTGATACCAGCAACAAAATAATCCCCAAGTTTTTGCGACTTTTTCTACATGGACTCTGCAGTGCATGTGAAAAACAAAAAAAATTACAGGAGCGAATAAACTTGAATGGTATAACCAATAACATTCACCAGACAAAATACTATTAATAGATTATTTCAAATTTTAGCAAATTCGAAAACCCTTTGACACAATGTGGATTGTAGTGTAGTTGGCGCAAACAGGGAAGTAACCCCAAGTGTATTACTGACATAAATTTTCCTAGTATAAATTTCCTATTTTCTTTTTTTAGAAGGAAAGATTAATGAATCCATTCATAGTAGGCAACATTGGTTTTGGGATAACAAATTAGCTTGATTGTCAACGTATAATAAAAATTGAAAATAAAGACTGAAGAGTTTTTAAAGTGTTTGAATTCAAAAATCCATAAATATTTAACAAATTATATCATGCCATGTTTTTATATATAATCATCGTTTATTTACATTGATAAAAATTAAAGGCTCTATTATCTCTTTATTAAAAATCTCAGATCAACCAAGTCAATCAATAGAAACTTACAACTTCCCCGGCACTCATTATTTTTCTTTCAAGAATTGCATTCGAATAAAGAGAAGTATATAAATAAATAAATAAAGAATGATAAAACTTTTAATTAAAAAAAATTACACGAATCAGATAAACAATAACAAAAAAAATCAAAAGCAGCAAACGCTTTGGTGTTGAGTTGTACTGCAACACGTTTAATAATTATTTGAAAATATAAAACAGAAATTAAAATCAAGTTTGCTGATGGAAATTTAAATTTTTTTAAAATTATTTTACTTGTGACAAACAAATTTTTCGTTTTTTATTTAAGTGATAAAACAAAATGTATTGGAATGCGCATGCGCGCAGTCAGACACATTAGCAGACGTATTTTTGGTTTGTGATTTCGTTGCAGACACGCCTTTGTTTTACTGCAGTGCGGCTAAGGTAAAATTAATTATATCTAACTAAATAATTCCGTTGTAATAAATTAACGCGTTTTAATATAAATTACAACACCTCTAATTTGCTACATTTTGTGTAGTTTTAAGATATCATGTCTTTATCTTATCCCTTTTTTTTTCTTCCTCTAACATTCCTTTATTGTTACACTGGGAATAATTTTTAAATAAAAAAATTTTGTTGCAAAATCAACAGATGTTTTTTTATGAGAAAATCCCTTTTGTCTTAGAAAAACTATATAAAAAGAAGATTAGGTGTATTTTATGATTGTAATTAGTTTCTTATTAATAATGAAACTTTCAATAGTTAACTTCTTCATTCAGATGTCAAATTCGCCTTTCTTTCGTAATAAATATCAAACTTATAAATTTGACAAAAATTAAACTGTTTCTTTTTTTAATAAATAATTTTAAACCTGAAAATTTATTTTTTTATCCAGATTAAGTTTTAGATCCCTTGCAGAATAAATAATTATTACTTTATTAATATATAGCACTTTCTATTTGAGGATAGCACTTTCTATTTTAATAAGATTTGTGTTGAGGAGATTAAAAATCTTTAATTATACCATCCGTATAAGTATTTTTTTTTTCAAAAAAGAAAAAAAAAATTTGGTGTTCTTCAAAAATGTTCTAAGAAACTCATAACATTCTCAAAAGGCTCATTAGTTTCTTGGATTGAGCTTTTTGTATTAGATATCTTGCATCATATTTATAAATTTTGCTTTTGTAAATGTATAACTAATTCTAAGATGTACACAACTCAATTAACAGCGATAATTTGCCATAATAGTAACCAATCAGACAATCCCCTATGTGTATAATTGTGTAGCATTATAAAGTTTGGAATGACTCAGTAATTAGGTTGTCGTAATAATATGATATGAATATGTAGTTTTCATTTTCAGATACTGTTTGGACAAGAGAAAGTATTCTCAGATTTCAATCTAGCATGATTCTATCAATTGTTTGTAAATATCTGTACAATCGGGAGACAAAACGAAGAAAATATTTTGCTTGCTTATTAGCTACTTGATATTTTATTTGCAATTTTATTTTGTTTTCAACTGTTATTTAGGTAAGAAGCTTTGTTTCTCTTTAAGTTCATTTAGTTTGAGTTATTAATTTTGCATGCTTATTTATTCATTTTAAATATAATTGTATAATTTATACTTTATTTGGGTTGCAAAAATTTTATAGTTTCATGTAAATTATTTTGTTTAGTTTGGAAATTATTTTTTTAATTATTGCTGTGCTTTAAGGTGTTATTATTTCTGTTTGATAGCCACATCTAAGAAATTGAATATTCCGTAATACATTTTCTACTTTTTAAACATTTTATAATTTTTTTCCATCTAACTAATAATAATTATAATATTAATAAGTATTAAAATATTCAGAAAATGAAACGAACAACTTTTAATCAGCAAAAGTTCTTTCAATTATCTTAACTTATATTAATTTGTAAAACTATGCATAAAACTATGGTTTAGAAATGTAAGTTCAAATTATTGAATCAGTAGGAGTTCAAGAATTGGAGAAATATTTTGCCATTCATATAGAGTTGAAAAAATTTAAATGACAAATAATTTAGAGTTAAATCAAATTTTCTTTTATTTGTTGTGGAAAATATTAGATAGCAATATGCAGATTGTGTGCGCATTGATGCAACTTTTTCATTTACACAAAATTTATCTATGATATGCAATGAAAAATCAAGTTGCTTGAAGCATCAGTTGAACTTAATACAATAGGAATAATCTCTAATTTTCTTAATATTTTAATTTTCTGCCCTTTTTTTTTGTTTGAAATTTTAAGCTCTTTTGCAGTTAGTTTTTTTTTTCCTCACAGAATTCTGTCATGTATTGAAAAATTAAATAAAAAGTAACGTTTTTGTGTCGAAAGTATGATCTCGGTTACTCGATGATTTAAAAACTTCATTTGGTTTAAAATATTGAAAGTGGAGATAAAAGTCTTGAGAAGTCTGTCCTCATTACTTTGAAGCAAATGAATTTCTTAAATCAACAAATATTTCTTTCCACTCCAGATACTTGAGATTATTCATTTAATATGAACTCTGTTGTTTAAAATAATCAGAAGCTGAAGATTGAGAGTAACTTAAAAGTTGAGGCGATTCAGAAAATACTACACTGATTTACACAAGGCACTTAGCAAGAAAACTTCATGGCCCATCATTTTTAAATGAATAATAAACTTAGTTAAATTTGAATTTTGAGTTAAATATATATTTCACAGTCATTCTTAGTGCCAGAAGGAGAGAATATTAAAACTTTCTTTCAATGTCCAATTGAATTATTTTACTTTTTTTTTTTCTCTCCCAAGAAAAATATCAAAACTGAAAAGTCTTGTTGATTCCATCAGCAGTGGTTATTAAATCATTGGTAGCTTCAATTAATAAAAATAAGTTAAAAGTGATGCACTAAAAAATCTCAAGTCAGAGATTTGCAGCTATTTAATTTTACAAATTTTTTCATATGCATAATGTTTCATTTTTAGGTTATTTCTATTAAAAAGTGTCATTCTTATCAAATACAGAATGTACTTGGCAGAAGACCATTTTTATGATCACTTCCATGCTGAAGAATATAATGATTTCAAGTTCTGGAGGGAACCAATCATGGAGATCACTTTAGAAGAGTTAGAGGTTCCAGTGACGAAAAAGAAGGATGAAGTTGTAGTTTCAACTGAATTTGATTCCTTCCTTTATTGGAGGGATCCAATCCCGGAAATAAATGAACTGTAAAATTTACATGTTTTATTAGGTATTATACTTATTTAATTAGTTAATTATATTGAAATAGAATCATTGGATTACTTGTTGGTGAATAAGTAATAATCTTAAATGCTTCTACTGATATTTACAATATTCAAACTATGAAATGTTACAAAAACAAGCTAGTCTATGTAATAATTTTAAAGATTGTTGGCATCACTTAATATTGATTTATTTCTGCTGCAAAGTTTATTCTATGTATCAAACTATTGGGCTTGTGAATTAAAATGTTAATTTTTGCATAAATCTTTCAAAATTATAATTGCTTAATATCTATATATTCGTGAATTATGTGATAAAATATTTCTGTGGCATCTTTACTGAATAAAATATTTAAATATATGAAAGATTGTTATTTTTTTTTTATAGTCCTAGATAAGGCTGGACTCACGAAAATGCAACAGTCCATATCATGTTCATGCGAGACCCTTTTTGTAATCATAACAAACTGAATTTGAAAGTTATGCCCAATGTTGCAATTTTTAATAATAATTACATTGGCAAATATGATAGCAGTTTAATAAATTGTTTGAATTACATTACAATGATAATAATTTAACAAAAATTAACTAAATACCTCCAGTTAAATTTGAGATTTTGGAATCCCAAGTTATTGACTAAAATTGGTCACAGCTTTTATAAACCTTAAAGAGGAAAAAAATAAGTAAATGTACTGATAATGTTCACAGAAACCTAAATTAAGCAATCACTTTATTTAAACAGTCCCTTTTGGAGAACAAAATAATTAAACGTTCTTGTTAAAATTTTAAAACTAAAAACTTTTATTTTCGCTAAAAGTATTTATTTACATTATTTGCATACACAAATATATATTTATTATATGCATTTATTTACAGCACAAGTAGCCTATATGTACAAATTACTTTCTAAATAAAAAATAGGAAATGAGGGAAATATATTGTAAGTTATTGAGGGTTTTAGTTTAAAAAAATAAGTGTTCTCATATAGACTTGATATAATTAAAAATATAAAACTTAATATAATTAATTCTTGTTTCAAAACATGCAGTTAAAGTAGGTTTTGTAAAATGATTAAAGACAGCTTACATAGTGTACAACTGAATTAAATATTTTATAAGAACATTAGAAAACTTCCAAGTTAAATCTTAATCAAAAAGTTTTTTACTTAAAGTTTTAAATTTTCGGAAAATAAATTTGAAATCGAATATTCTTTTGGAAGGTTAATGTATGTAAAATCTTGGGAAATATTTTTTCGTTATTGCAAACATTACTTTTAGAAACGATATTAGCATTCCAATCTAAAACAAGTTTTTACTTTTATATTTAATTTAATAAAATTTCAGCATTATTTAATGTAATTGTTACAGGAAAATACTAATTATTTTATGAATAAAAACAATAACAAATAGTTTTTATACAAAGATAGTCTTATTTGTGCAAGCAAGGATTGAATATTTTACTTGCATTACAAGAAAACTATCTTGGAGATGTGTGTTTATAAAATTAATAGTAAAGACACACTAGAAAATTTTAAGATAAAGTTTAATTAAACTAAAAATATCTACATTTCTAAACAATGTGCTTAAGATAATTAACAATCAGTTCTGAAACATTAATTTGTTTTATCTGAATCTTGCTTTTCATCTTTTTCCAACTCCAACTGATGCCTACGATTTCGCCAAGCTAAAGTATAAGCATGAGGATGAATTGGAGTAACACCAACAGTACCTAAAGAGTATGAAAAACATTGAAATTAATTAATAAAATTGTGTATAACTTCTGTAATTTTTGTGAAAATTTATAAAAAGAATTCATTAATACAAAACTACAGATTCTAAAATTAACAATTTCTTAAAAGAATAATTTTTTTAAATCTAATAATCCGTGTAAGCAAAGGTTAAATACATGCACATTGTTCATAATCTTGTAATAAGAAATTTAATTAAAGCATTTAACATTCATTTTTTTTTTTATTGTTTTGCTCGTAAAACCTGCAGCATTGATGAACTAAAAATCACCTACACTTTGCTTTATAAAATAAATATAAAAACATTTGTTACATTTTAATCTCATTGAGGTTCATAGTTCCTAAAGTATATTTCAAATTACAGACTTGAGTACAAAATTTTTCATTTTCATGCACTAAGAAGACGTGATTTTACCCATACACGCTGATTTAAAAATAGGAATAATAATAAGGAAAAGATAATTTTGTGAGAACTCTGAGCAAATATTTGATATGGTAAGCAAAAATGATGATCTATGAGATATATAATTTTTGTAGTTAAGTTATTTATGAATTTTTTTGTAAAATGTTTATGAAATAAAATAAAGAGAAAGTACTAGAGCTCAAAATTTTTTTACCATGTTGGGTATGTTAATCAACAACAGTGATATATTTTGAAACTGATTTGAATAATTGGCTAGGATTCTTTTAAATAATTGGGTTTGTTACAAAAAATGGTATCATTTTCCAAATGTAGGTAACAGTTCAAAATGTTTGGAATAATTTTTTTAGCTGGATAATAGTAATTTAGTGATATTGGAATCCCCATGACACATTTCATACCCTTTAACTTACATTTCTATTTTATTATAATCTTTTCATGAGTGGAAAACATTTCTACTTTAACGGAGGAACACTAACTGAGTTTAGGATATAATCTTTGCTTTTCACCATAGAAAATAGATTTTTCGACATACAGATCTACTTAGATATTTTGATTGGAAATTGAAATTTTTGTACAATCTACTTATAAAACAAATCAGTTAAAAGGTTAGTATATATAAAATACTTTTCTAACTGCTTAATAAATCTACAATATATAAATATAGAATAAATCTACAAGCATAGATAATTGCAAAAAATCCAGAACTATCAGACACATAAAGATCTCTGTATAATCCCGTTGCAATCACACTCAATGTCATGTGTTGAAATGAAGAGTAAATTTTTTGAATCAGCTTATGAGAGGCTTATTGAAGGTGACTAACATCTAAAGATTTTCAACTATTATATGGAAAAATATTTTTAAAGATTGTGCTCAAAAAAGAGAAGTCAAATTTTTCTCATTTTGCCTATTTTTATTATAAAATTCGAATACGTAATAAACATTTTCCTTCTCATAAAAATTAATATAAGATAATACTTTATACTTAGTGATACAATAATAAAAATTAAATTAATCAATGAAGGGGAAGTAGGAATAAACAAAAAGCAGTTGTTCCAACAGCAGGAGTTAGGCACCTTATGAGTTAAAGCAAGTAAAAAATTATTAATGGGTAAAAAATTGTACATAATCATCAACCGAACTAAAGTTATTTTTTTGGAGCATTTTCCTTCTCACTCCACATATTTCTAATTTTTGGTTGACTAATAAAGCTGCATTTTTTCCCCGAAATTTCAAAAAAGTAAAAGCATCATATTTTTTTGTTTTCTAAATCGGGGTGCATAGCCAGATCTCTCAACAAAAAATAAGCACTTTTTAAGCACTTAAAAAATATTTTAAAGCACTATATACATCAGCAAAATGCAAAATAATTTTCAAAGATTTTACATGATCATGATAAAATAACTACTAGCCACCATAAGATGAGAGATTTTTCAGTTCGATTTCAGAGGAAGGACAATGAAACCTGAAATTGAGAATCTCTTGCAATATGCAGTCGAGTTGCACATAATAGTACACAAATAATTCCCATTGAATCCAGCTCAGTATATGCACATGCAGACCCGCAAGCATTTTATCAAACATGTCAAATGATTGGCGCTTTCATATGCTACGGAACGACGGTATGCCAAAAGGCATTGAGTTTAAATGATTTGTGAAAACGTTGAATAGAACAATGTGCAAATCATGCTTTTGCATAATGCGTGGCGAAAATTGACATGGAAAAAATCTAATTTTCCGAAAGAAAAAAAATCTCATTTTTGAAAATGGAAAATCAAGCACTTTTTAAAAACAATCAACAAAAAAGCACCTTTAAGCAGTTTTTAAAAACACTACACACCCTGTAAATTGAATTCCTATGAGAAAAACTTCACAATACTCATCTTTAATTAAATATTTAGATTTAAAAATTAATTTTTTATAGCAAAAATAAAAAGACTACAAAAGACATCAAAACCATTTCATAATTATATCTCAATACCTTTAGTATTTATAATAAAAAAATAAGTACACCAATAGGATTAAATTGGGATTTTCGAATGTTGGGCTCTGGGATAAAGTTGCAGAAAATATTTCTTGCTACTGACTACTTTCAGATTTAGCATGAAAATCACTAGCTGAAAGTTCCATAAAAGCTGGGTCTAACATTCAGAGGGTTAAAACATTTTAAACTAATACACTAGGCCAATTTTTTTAAATTTATTATTATTAAAATAATAATAATGCAGTGGAACCTCTTTATCTCGAAAACCTCGATATCTCAAAATTTCTAAATTTCCCTACATTTACTGCCTAAAATCAATGTATTTTCCATGTTAATGTCGAAATTTTTTTTCAAACGTCCTTTCCTCGGAAGTAAAAATGAACAGGTTGGAGATGTTTCTTGGAATTTCAATTATTATCCCTGCTCTTCCTTAACTAGAAAGGAATACAATGATTCTGGCAGTAAGTGAGGGGTTAATGAGTAGTGACCACCAGGGGTTAGCTTTTCAACATAGGTAAGAAAGCTAAGAATATAAATTCATTTTCACCTCAAAACTGCAATCAACGCATAATAAGGAGTTTTAAAATGAACTATAGAAAACATTACTGTTTTGCCTGGCGAAATGTGTCTCTAAAAACTATCCAAAATGGTTTTAAAAAGCTGGTTTTAAGAATAACTGTAAAGATGATTAACAAGAGAAACTAAAAACAATTAAAGCACATTTAACAGAATTTTTTAATTAAATTTAAATTTTTTAAAAGTACCCGTATAACTCGAAACCTCTTTACCTCAAATTTTTCGCCTTCCTCGTGAGTTTCCAGATAAACAGGTTCGACAGTAATAATAATAATTCAGAATTTTTTTTTAAGTTTAATTATTTAATCAAACTTTCTTTAAGAGGAGAAAAAATTAGATATGTAAGCTGCTATTTTTATTGGAAAGAAGTTCCATACAATACATTTTTTTAAAGGATATTTTTTAAACCCTTTTTTAATCTTGATATTTTCACTCTTCTATTGTTATGCTTAGAATACTTTCAATAACAATTAAGAAACTTAAAATTAACATTTTTTATGAGGAACATTTACAAAACTTCAAGCATAATTCCAATATAAAATTACATTTATAAAACTGATTTGAACATTTATTTGATAAGATGAGTAAAAGATCTGTAATTGTAAAAAATATGATCAAAAGATTTCAAAAATATGCTTATAATGTTTAATTTATTGTAATAAAAATGTAAGAAAATCCAATTCCCATGATGCCAATTAGATAAATAGTATAATGAATTTAACTTAATCATAAAACAGATTTTTTATGGTTGGTATCAGATTTTTATCTGTACTCGTCAGTAAAAGCTAATGAATATTGAAATCAACAACATAAAACTAATGACATTGAATTTTTTACCTAAGAGCATGGCAACAGTTGATCGAACCCAGGCACCTTCCGCAACATAATATTTAAATCTTTCAGAATTTTTACATATCAACAACATTATCAACAATTTTACATTATCAACAACATAAAACTAATGACATTGAATTTTTTACCTAAGAGCATGGCAACAGTTGATCGAACCCAGGCACCTTCCGCAACATAATATTTAAATCTTTCAAGGTTTAAAGATATAAGCTTTTCACCACGTTCATTAGGCATGGGATCATACACTCCAATCTGTTCAACACCAGAGCTTATACAGCGCTCTTCAGGTCGAGCCACTACTATATGATAAAATGGTCGATTAGAACAACCTTTTCTTAAAAGTCGAATAGCAAATGGCTTAGGCGTAGTCAAGAATCGCTTGTACCTGACCATAATAATTCTAACCTAAAAAGAAAAACTAAATCAATTTTTGAGGCAAAAAGAAAAAAATAGAATAATTCACCAATTATTGAAACATGTTTAAATTAAAAGTTATAGAAATTTTATAACTCAAAAGCTAATTTTTAAATGTATTAGTTGAATAGTTTCCAGAAAATAAAAAGCCAACTTTAACTCATTATTAAAATTACTCAAAAGTGTCTTCTGAGAAATGTATCCACAAGCTCATTTCGAATTTAATTATTCCAAATTGTAACTTTTAAAACTATTAAATTTTTTTACATCTTTCAAAACATAATTAAACTGAACAACAAATAATTATTTAAAAATGCTTATGCAAATTACCTACCTTTGAACAAATGGATTTCAGGATTTTTTAAAATAAAATTTTAATTGAAAATTAGTTTCAAAGATACAGATAGAATATCAAAAATTAAAAATAAATTAAAACCAAGTTTAACTGCTCTATAACTAATAGGGCCACATTAAACTAAACTGTTAGAACCACATTTTTTGAATTGTGGCTATCTCTTCTTATATTTTAAGAATTTAATTGGGTAGATTAAAAAAAAGAAAAAAAAAAGGGAAGATTTCTGTATCAGTACCTGTGCCAAAAAAATTACCTAAATTTTGATTCTAATCAGGTAATATTTCGAGAAAAAAAAAAAAAAAACATTACAGAAGAGGATAAAATTGGAGTGATTATCTATCAGTCACCGCTAAGCAAAGTCGCAACATTTTGTGTGTCTGGCAGCATTTTTTGGGGGAAAGGGGGAGGCAGTGACATTCTCCAATCTCTGATGCCCATTGCTCTTGCTAATTGATTGTCTTTTTTTAATTTTTTTTTTGCTTTTACTTTAGCGAAGACCATGAATATAAAATGATAGAGTTCTTCTAAAAGCCCAGACAATTAAGTTTCTAATTCCAGCTAAAAAATTCTATTTTGGAGTACTGATGAACTTATTGAAGAAAAATTTTCTGAACTCAAATGTTTCCACAGAAAACATGAAATATTTTGGGCTTCATGATCATCAGTCCTTTACTTTGAGATGCTCCAGTCAAACTGTTCAAGGCATCATAATTTATGTCAAAAAATCACTAATTGCAATAACTAAGATTATCCATAAAATGTCTGAACTATACAAACTTGAAGCTTTTAAAATAACTGTCTTGAAGAATTCTCTGTGTTTTCCTATCATTTTCCTTTAGAACCTTTCACAAAGTAAATTCATTTCCCATTGTTTCCCCATTAGTTGGAATCTACTGCACAAGTTATTTGCTTCTCTCAAAAAGTGAAAGATAGTGATCACAGTGTTTTCACTACAGCGCCAGAACCTCACATATTTTTTTCTTTTCTCGCATTAAAAAATGATTACTGCGAGAAATTTGCGCATTCTATAAATCAATTTCAAAATTCGCCAATTTCGCGCATTTTAGAAAAAGCTTCGAATTACGCCATTTAGAATAAAATCCGGTTCACTTTTCTTCCTGGATCTTTCATTATTTTCAACATTTGCCCCATTTACCTAGCTTCCCTATTTACCAGTATTGTTCAGAAACTTTTCGAACAACAGAACACAACCGCGGAACCCCTTTCAGAACACATTTCTCTGCAACCACGTGTTTACTGTAGGTAAGGTTTCTTCATGTAAGACGTTCAAATTTTTTATGCACTTATGTAAGATGGACAAATACCTTGTAAAGGCAAAATCTTCTATGATGATGCACCAAAAATATTCAATGCTTTAAAAAATAGAAGACGTTAAAAATGTATTATAATTAAAGAAATGATTTTTTTTTCAAGAGTTTTTGTGTTTTTTAAGTTTTTAGAAATCTCACTTAACTTTTTGAAATCTCACCCTATTTTTGAGAAAGGGTGAGAAATTCTCACTCATTTTTTTTCTATGATGAAAACACTGGATCACCACAAACAAAGCATGCTGGCTGTGTCTATAGATTTTAAATTTGCTTCCGATTAAGCTTATAAAAACATTCTGCTTAGTAAACTATTAAATCTGGATGTCACTGGCTGCCACTTTAATCGGATTAAATTTTTTATCAGCCAAAGATTTATTGGAGTTAACAATAGAAATGTGAAATCCAGTTTTAGACAAGAAATGGCCTTGAACATGGATCTATTTTAAGTCTTTATTTGTTTAATATAATAATTAATGATGTTTTAGTGGAGCTTAGTGGCATAAAGGAGATCGTGGTTTTGCCTTTTGAAGATAACCTTGTTATGTGGTCAACAGGGCCAGATACCCAGAAACTTAAAATATTATTAAATAAGTCACTGATCAAACTTGCTTAATGGCAGACGATAATGAAATGATGGTTAATTCTGAGAAACCTATCTTTCAACTTTTTATTATGAACCCGAAAAGGAATTCCATCCATTTGAAGTTTAAGAACTGACCTCTGTTAAGTACAGAATATACCATTTACTTAGATTTTATCTTAGACTCCAAACTATGTTGAAATAATTCTGTCAAAAAGACAAAAGAGAATAAGCTTTAAATAGAATGAAGTTATTGAAGAGGCTTTCTGGTAATACCAGCATCTGAGGAAGCAATGCTTATAAATCTTATGTTCGATCTATCTCTGACAACGATTCAAAGCTCACAATAACCTCTTTTAAAAGTATTCTATCTAGACTTGACATTCCACAAAATTGTGTACTTCATTTAAATACTGGAGCGGCAAAATTGACTTCTACATAATTACTGGAGTTTCACATCAATATTAAACCGTTATCTGATTAATTATGATTGTCATGATAAATTAACTCTGGTTCTCAGACAGCATTCCCACGACTTGGAAAAAATAAATGCGTGCTAGCTAAGATTTTTCAAGACTGCTGAAAAATGCTTAGATTTCTCTTTCTTTTTAGAGTTACAAAATTATTCCTGGGGTATACTTTTGCACTCATGTATATTTAGTTTAAATTAAAAATTTATTGATGCTTAAAACATCTAAATTTATCTTAATTTCACCACCAATTTAAAATTTTTTCCAGACTGTGGTAACCCTGTCAGAGAAAAGTTGCTAAGAAATTATAGTAACTACTGGAAGTCTTAATTTGCTTTTTTTTTATTATGTAGATGAAATTAGTGAAAGCCTGGGTTTACCAATTATTGATAGACAGCCCTCTGACACTTTCATGACTAACCATCTTAAATTTCTGAGACAAAGCTAAAATCTTTTACAATTGCAACTATCTATGAAAGATATCCTCTCCCTAAGTGGCTTCATGTTTACTCTGATGCATATTGTCAGTTCTCTTAGTTTAAATATCCAGTAGGGATATTTTGTGAAAGCTTTGATGGGAAGATTTTTGCAGTGTTTTTTGCTGCTGAGGCTTAAGAAAATTAAATGCAAGAAAAAGTTGTGTTCTTTATTGATACCAAGGCTGCAATTAAGACGTTGGTAAATAGGAAACAATCTTCCTTTCTGAAATAGTTCAGAATTAATTAATTATCAGAAATCTTATTGAAAACAGAAAAAGGATTACAATCAAATCGATCCCCAGCCATGTCAGAGTTCCTTGCAACAAGGAAGCAGATACACTAGCAGGATAAGTAGCTAAATTTTCAACAAAATATAAGCATTTAAGTACTTCATAAACACTTAAATAATACAGTGACAACTAATAAATATATATAGTAATGCATAAAACTTATGGTGCTTTTGTAAAATTAAGCATTTTTTAAACGGTTGAACTCCTTCATAAAATCAGTTCTTTCTTAATCAGGGCCCGTGCTAAGCATTTGCCCTCTCGCCAATAGGCGATGAAATCACACATTTGGCGAATGAAATTGTGTTTTGGCAAATGATTTCTCCCACTAGAAAGAAATATATATATAAGAAATCGTTAATATTTGTATTTAGAGAAAACTTTCGAAAATTGGAGAATACTTTTGATATTTGACTAATTTACTGTCTAATAATTTGTTATCCTTAGCGTGGGCCTTGATAATGTATCAAAAATCCTTTATTATGAAAAGGTAGCAGGCACTACAATTGCCAATTCACATGGTCAGACTCTGTTCCAATAAAGAAAGAAATTAAAATAAATATTCTGTGAATATTTAAAAACAATGATGGCTATGGTATTTCTTATAAGCTACAAATTTGCTAGGTTAAGTACACAAAGAATTATATATAAGATTGGAGGCACCTTGGCAATTGAAGTTAGCGTGAACAGGTAAGGATAAGGATATCCCTTGTAACTTGCTCGGATCTAGAAAAAAAAAAATGTGATAAATTTCAAATCAAGTTAGCATGCTTTTGAGACATGCCATAGTTTGGCTACATCTTTGGTCTGTGTTAGAATAAAAACATGTATTTCACAGAAAATTTAATTAAAAACATTGATATTTTACTCACAAGTAGTTATTTTTTTTTCTTCTAAATTTTCTGAAGAAAGTGAATGTATTTTTCTATTTATTTACATAAAGCTGCATGCAGTTAGGTGATTAATGGAAGCGAAAAATTTGAATGAACTTTGTAAACTCAAAAAGTTTCAAAATCACTATCCGGTTGCTTTAGAAAATTCACAATTTCAGCCAAGTTTTGAGAAAACGGAACGATCCGTTGATTAAGACGAGAAACTTAGCGAACAACAATTTTAAGAGAAATAATTGGAGCTAAGTCTTTTCTTTTTGTCTAAATGAAGATTTGACAAAAAAAAATCATTTTCCCAGATTTGGAAAACTCTTTATCTTAATTAAATTTATAGTCGATACATTTTATTTATTTTAATTTTATTAAATAATAAGTAATCGTAAAAATAAGCTATTGTTCGTCATAGAATACACCCAAAAATTGATTCAAAATCATTGAACTGCTTTTCATCAAATAAGTTACTCGTAGCGCTTTGTGCCTATTATAAAATTGCCAGCTATCAAAAATTTTGACCAAAACAAGAAGTCGCATATGTGTGTTTGACATTTTATCGTTTCGTATTCTATGAGTATCGATTTTGACAGGCAGATGGCTTAAATAGGTGATAATATTTTCTCTTTTGTGATAACAGTTCTTCTCTTTCCCTTTTATCTTTCCGCTTTTGTAACTGACTATGTACGACATTATGTTCCTAATTTCTGTATAGGAAATTTCATGATTTGCAAACAATGATGACTTCTACAAATGATGATTATAATCCTTTTGAGGTAAAATTTAAAATATCTGTAGATAGTTGAATTAGTTTAGACATTTGAAATTTCTATAGTTTTTTTAAAATTTTTTACCAATAATTACAGTTCAAAAGAGAAGGATGTCATGGTTTTCTTCAATGAATGTAATGATTTCCTATTTGTCGCGAAATTTTTAGAAATATGAGTAATGAGCAAAAATGTCGTTATTTTTTTTATTTGTGTATTTTTTATTTCCGTATCGTGATCTGACGTGCCAACTACAATCCCCAAGGTGCCAAATAGATTTTAAACTTGCAAATTTAAAACAACAACAACAACATGTAGGTGTTTGCCCGGGGTTTGCTACGAGTTATAACTTTCGAGATGGTCCCTTTCGGTGATGTTTTTTTTTTAGTTTCTCGTGGGCCACTGCCCGGAAGTTTCCGAGACTTGGCGATTATTCTGCCACAGATCAGGATATGGAAATCTTCCCTATTTCTTTTAACAGGCATGATTTTTAACATTTTTAAGCATTGAAATATTCACGTTTGCTATGATCTGGTTGTTGTTACATTTTCCTAGTTATGCAGAATTGGAATTTATTCAACGCATGATTAATGAACTGTCCACCTTAAAATGCAAAAAAAATGAGTTAGTATCTATATTGGTTATAGGTTCTTAATTATTTAACATATCAGGAACTGAATGTTTGGTTATAGTATATGAACTTTCTAAACTGCATTTGTACGTAATCATTTGTGAATATCACAGTAAATGTGTGGCTTAATCTTTAAAATTATGGATGAACAATGTTTTGTTAGTTTTTAGTATCTATGTTGTTTTTCATAACACTCGTTTTCCTAACAAGTGTTCTAATTAAAGAAATTTTTTTTCAATGCTTATAGGAAACAAATTTTATTGCTAATAAATATCTATGAACTCTTTCTGTTTTATTTTACTTTGTCTCATTTAATAATTAAAATAATATTCATTTAAAATATCCTACTATAATAATATTTTAACTTTCTCATAAAGGATTAATTTGAATCTAATTATTTTATGGTTAAGCTTCAAAGTTGGTAGGAATCACCTGAGTTTTATTTTAATTTGTGTCTTTAAAATAGTCGTTTTAGTCATGGTTATATATTTATTATAAGACAATTTATCAGGTCATGATGTATATAATTATTTGTTTTTATTTTAAGTTTCTCATGTAACATTAGGAAAATTATTATAAAGAGTAATTATTTAAAATTAATATCTCTCTTTAGAATAAAATCAAAAAAGAATGTATGAAATTACTTTATCATTTTTGAAATATTTTTCTTCAATTTTATTTGTACCCAGTTTTAATAATCATTAAAAAATTAACAAGAGTCTTAAAATCTTTGGTTTGTCTAAAATCAGTTTATAACTTTATAAATTTTTTTCTGGCTTTTTTAAAAGACCTTTCTTAATCTGAAAATAAAATTATACTTTAGTTCCAAACATTTCATATTCTCAGAAATTTAATATCATTTATTTATATAGATCATTGGCAATATGCCAATGCTGTTACTGGCTTTCAGCTGTGCTAATACTTACTCATAATTTTTTTTTATTTGTGATATGCTTCAGTTGTCATTTTGTTTCTGTAGATATAATTTTTCGCAGACTGATATGTAGCATTAACAAAATGAATGTGATTTTATAATTATTTTTTTGTAGGATCCAAGTGTAAAAAACTTAACTACTCAAGTTGGCAATAATCAAGACTCAATTGGAGCTTACAATCCATTTGAAAAACCAGTGAGACAGGTGACATTTTCTATTTGTTATGCACTTTTATTAGTGTTATGTATTTACTTTTATTGGTAGTTTATTAGTGTTATGTTTTTTTATTTTTGTATTATGTATTTTTTAAATTTTTTTTTTTTTTTCATTTGAAACAATTCAATTTTTTTTTCATTTCTTATTCACAAAATATGAATTTATTTATGAATTATGTTAAATATATTATAATTTTTTAAGTTCTTAGCTATGTTTTTAATCTAGTATTGTACTATATTACTTAAAGAAAGATTTTTTTTTTAATCAAGCTAATTATGGTGAGATAGGAAGGAAAAGGTGAACAATATTTATTCTAATAATCTGAAATATTTTAATGTAAAATTTTATTTCACTAATTTTATGTTAATTTTTCATTCTTGTTTCAAATTTCAGTCAAAAATATTTTACTACCCTAGTTGTTAAATAATTATCCAATTATGCGTAAAACTTTTTGTACTCTATAATTTTAAACCACCATCATTATAGACCTTTTTTTCATGTTAAAATATTGATTATTTATAAAAATTCCTGTGATAATTAGTTGCTTAACTTGTTTGGAAAATCTTATTCTATAAATGCAAACATTAAACAAGTCAAAATTATTTCAGACTTTTTTTTTATATGGTTTTTTAAATTTTCTCTCAATATATAATGCTGATTTGTCCTTATTGCGCATGCTTTAGTGTTTAATAAATTTAACAGTCACTAATCAAATAATGTTAATCATTGATTGAGTATTATGTATCTTGGAACTAGTGAAAAGTAGATTCTTTTAGTTTGTTAGTTGTTTTTGTGTTAGACAAATATTTTATTTTTTATATAAATCATATCTTGAATGCTCATTCATAACAGTGCTTTAAAATGAAAATGTTAAAGGAAATATTCCATGTGAGAAATTTTTTTTAACAACGTCTCCACGATTATCTCAACATCTTTAATTCAAAAGCCTTTTGCGCAGTATTCATAAATTATTGCAGGAATTCCGAAATGAACTTAGTAGCAGAATTTACTGAGTTAATCTGTAACACAATCTTCATAGTTTGTTTGCAATCCACATTATCACTGTAATAATTGGGCTTAATCTAACTGTAATAATTGACTTAATATAGCGTGTGTAAATTTGCATATATAAGGTTAATCAAAATTATGCACCCAAAAGTTTATGTTAAAGATTTATATTACTTTAATTAAAATGTCATGCATTACTTATTTTCTGGCAGAAGAAGTACACCTCAATAGAAACAGCAAAATAAAATAGAAAATCATATTACGCACAACAGAAGTGCACAGTACTGCACATGCCAGCATCTTTTTATTTGTGACTTTAGAATATGCATACGTAATATATATGCATCTGTATAGTAAAAATAATAATTTTTATGTGTATCAATAAGCAAAGGTTTAATTTCATAATTATTTAAAAAGAAAAAATATTAAAATCTGTTAACAGGTTCCACAGCATATACTGTACGGCGATACAGGCATTAAGCATGCCTAATAAAAAAATTAAGAAAATCTCTTTAAATGGTAAGAAAAAATATATACAACAAAATATTTTTTAAACATATAAATTATCATAATCTTAAAATGATTTAAAAAAAAAAAAAAGAAAGGAGAACTTAAAATGCATTTCTAAAGAGCATACATTAAAAGAAGAATTTTCTTTTTCAGTTACAAAAAGAAATAAAATTGATCTAAAACAAAGCTTTTCAGATATTTGGCACCGTGCCAAAATTAAAAACTATTATGTTTTACTTCAGAAGGGCATATAATGAACATCAGTAAATAAAAAAAATTATGCTCAGCTGTGCTAGTAGGAGGAGGAGGTTGAGAGAGAAAGGTTGCAGAACCTGAAATTTTAGGAAATGTTTTTTTTTTTCCAAATCAATTATTTTAATAATCAGATTTAACTAATAATAAGTAATTAATAGCTAAATTATAATAAAAAAATTATTTTCCTATTAGGAAAAAAGTATGTATTTAATCGAAGAATTAGTGCTGCCACTGAACATATAAGTCTGCAAAAGAAGTAAAAAATTTTAAATTAACAAATTTATTTAAAAGATTTAAAAAAATCATCACAATATTTAATTGATGAAAAGATATATGTACAATTTCATGATTTAAAAAATTTCAAGTCCTTCAAAGTTACTTTCATCATTGTCAGAGACAAATAAATTCATAATTTTATAATTTGCCATTTCAACATTGGTTGTAAAATCATCATCAGAGTCACTGTTGTAGCAATCTAAATATGTTTATTAAAATTTAAATCTATTTATTTTGTTTATTAAAATTAAATACATTATTTATATCTTTAGTAACTTGATAATTCATACCATTTATGCTTTTATTAGAATCCCGGATCCGGTGATCATACTTCACCTGTTAATACTACTGCTATTACAATGCAGAAAGATGCTCCTCCCCCAGCATATGAAACTTCTGCTGCACAGAAAGCAGTGCCCTCAGATTTAGAAAGACGCCAAGAGGTAATTATTTTATCAAGTTTTGTTATTTTTGTATCTTTTCACACCAGTCATAACTTGTTTAGTATGTTTCTTAAATTTTTTCTTTTGCATATTGTTGTGTTTATAACTTATTTTGACTTTTTTTAAATTTGCTTGGTTACATCATTAATTTTAATTTATTTTCTAAATCCGTATGGAAATGGCCAAAAAAGTGATAATTGACTGCTGAAAAAAAATTGTTTTCTTTACAAGACATTTACAATCCAGGCACAGCAAACCAAGTGCTTTAAAAGTGCTGTCTAAAATTCAATATTGCATGTACAAATAACATTGTATTCTAATTATCGAAATTTGAAAAACCATGTAAAAATAGCCACAAAGAAAGAAGAAAGATAAATAAGTACCTGTAATTTGAATGAAAAAAAGCATGTGGATCAATTATGGAATAGTTATGAATAAAGCATGTCAGAAATTGTTTACTTAGAGACAAAATTTTAGTGTTCTAATATCATATTTAAGATATTGGAATTCAAAAAACCATATGGAAATAGTGAAAAAAGAAACGATAAACAGAAATCCAAGCTATTGGAATGACATGGAATTAAGATGGTGTAATAACTTCTCGCGAATGTGCCAAATTGTGAGCACTCAAATTTGAAATTCATGTACCATAATAACTTGGTTCTTAAATATCAGAATTTGTAAAACCACATGGATATTGTGGAAAAGATGATAAATAACTGCCAAATAAATTATCAGATAAGATAAAGCTGTCTGTTTTCTGTGGTATAGTTGTGAATTGAATGCGCAAAATATTTTAAAATCTATGTGTGATAATAACATGATGCATCATACTAAAACATAATGTGGAAATGACAAAAAAATGTGTACACATCATTTTTCGTATATAATATACATATGCATCAGGGCATGCAACCATGATCAAAGAACATGTGGAGCAGATTTTTTTTCTATCCAGTGTTCAAATTAAGCAGAATTTCGTAAACTTGGCCTAGAATAAACTCTGTAAGGCATGTTCTTAAAGACTGCTCTTAATATGTATTTTTAAAATCCTTAATAAAAATGAAAACAAGTGTGCACATGGGGCTTCAAAAATTTATATTTATGCGAGGAGCAATCAAAAACGCTATCAAAATCAGGCGAATTAATAGAAAAAGGAGAGAGTAACAAGCGACAAAACTGGTTTATTTTGAGGTTGAAACTTGAAGGTGTTTCTAAAAATTGTCAACTCCTTTCTGTTTCCACACACAATCAAATCAGTCTTATAGTTTATACATTCACAGTCTTGTATTCTTAACTTGTTAGATTTTGATTGCATTTTTTTCCCCAATTTAACAATAATTTTAAACCTCTGTGTGTATACCTTTTGTTTTCAGATATGATAAGGATCCAAAAAAGAAAAGAAAAAAAAACACGTTAAGAGCAGTCTTTGCAGAGTACACTGTATACTATCTCTATTTTCTTTTTACTCTCTTGGTGCTATTTTTATTATCAGGATATGTTATTTCAGCTACTGTACTATTCGTCTGCTATTTTGAGGATATTTATACCACTATTTTTGAGCTTAGAAGCTACTAAAGCAACTATTTTTGAATGTTAACTTTAGTGGATGCACTGTAAATTGTATTAGTCCTGGTTAATTGGTATGGCTTTTTTTTCCTCTTTAAGTTCTGAAAAGAACATTAAAATTAAAACCAGACAATTTAAACACTAATCATTATTGAACATAGTGTAAGAATTACCAAGTAAAGAATTAAACAAAGGGATAGTACTCAATGAGTACTTCAGATTTTAGTATATTATAAATCATAAGATAACACATTCTTGATTGTTGTTAAAACAACTCACTCTATCACAAAAAATTAGATCATCCAAAGCATTAGCAACACATTTATTAGGATCTTGTTGCTTAACATACAAGATTTCTAAAGATCTAATAAGGTTATGACACATATAATTCACAAATTCTATCATATTCATAGTAATAATGCATTATGATAGTAGTAATATTTAGATTATATTTTTATATAACCATTATTTATGTAGTAAGTTACATTTTGAAATTTTTTTTGTAATTGCATTAAGATATTGGAGGGCTCATTACCTAATGACCTAATTGGCCTGGTATTTATTAAATTAAAATTTTTGTTTATTATAATTCTTTATATTAATATAAGATTTTAGTACAATTTTTAATCCAGTTAAAAATTATTTTTAATCTCATAACTTAATTATCTAAAATACTAGATTTTAGCTTTGATTGCTATAGAGTCTAAGTTTTCTTCCGGTTTCCCGCATACATAATATTTCGTCCGAGTTTTAAAAAACTTTTTCTAAAATCCGGCACAATTTATTTGGAATTGGGGATTAGCACTGCAAGGGAGGAATGCGTTGATGTTACTTCTCCCTTAAAAATGTTAGCTTTTCAGATTATAGTCATATATTCTTTTTTTTTAAAATTATTTTTAGGAATTAGAAAGAAAAGCTGAAGAACTTCAAGCAAGAGAAGCAAGACTTGCCGCATCTCCAACTGCTGGTAACTATTAAATTTCTTTAAAAAACAATACTAAATACAACAAAATCAAATTCTTTAGAACACAGTTTAGTAGAAACAATGTAATTTTGTATTAAAAATGTTTTAGAGTTTTGTTTTTTTTCTCATCAAGTTAAGAATTGTTTGATTATGTTGATTTCTCTCTCTCTCTCTTTTCCCCCCTCAATTTAAAAATCCCTTAATTTTTTAAAATTAAAAATGTTTTATTACTAATTTAACTTTTATTTAAAGGCAATGCTTTTTCATATTTATTTTAGATATTTTCCAATTTATTCTCAGAATTTCTAAAAATTTATTTTTTTAGAAAATGCAAAATTCTTTAAAAATTGCATGTTAACCATTTGAATGTATCATTTAGATTTTTCAGCATTCTACCTGATTGTTTTTGAAAAATCTACTGGTCCTCTATTATATTGTGAGGGAAAAAGAATATGAAGGGGAAAATTCTATTCAAAAATATACCTGGATGCTTGGTCAAAATTATTCGATTAATACTATACGAAAAGACATTAAATTTATCTGAAAATAGTCATCAGTTAAATATGATTATCCTTTTAAAAAATAAACTAGTTTTTAACAAAAGGGAAATGTTTGACAGATTTGGTTTGTCAATGCAAATTTGTGCAATGATCTTAATATTTAAATAGTTCATTTTACAGTTTCCTTATTTAATTTTGAACATGAAAATCTTGATTGAACTCACTTTACAGAACAATTTTTCTTTTTCTATAATTGAAGATTTTTATCTTTTCCAACATAATTATTGCAGCCTGAAAAATTTTCCAAATTTCATTAGAAGTTAACTCTTTCTTTTTTCTTTTTTTTTTGTCAAAAAATGTTTACAAAAAAAAAATGAAAATTTTTTTTTTCATGTTATTTAAATTTGTTATAAAAATATCATGTTATAAAAATTTATTATGTTATTCTCATTAAATATGTAATTTGATTTTTCGATAACTTATTACAACTTTTGAGCCCCCAATCAACTTATTTATATATACTGCTTGCAAATTTATATTTAAATTCACTAACTAAATCTTTATCTACTTCAACTAACTGGACCATCAACCATACTACCAACTTAATTATCACACCCTGATTTTGTTACTTATTCATTAACTGAATCACCAAATTGCTAACTTTCATCGCTAACTGAGTCATTATTAAGTTACTGTTTCATTCAACTACTTAATAACTGGGTCACTCACTCAAATCAAACACTGTCAACTTTTAAAACTGGTCAACAAAGTATTTAATTTACCTCATGTTCTCTACTCTTATTGTTTAGAAAACAGTCTTAACTATTAATGAATAATTTAGTTTAATAATGAACTGCAGTTAATTAGTTAACATCTTTTCCTAAAATCTTCTGTTGTTGTTAGAAGGAGACATTATCTTCCTCATACTTTTTGTAATAATAAAATTGACTGGCATTTAATAGAATATTAAGAAACTAATTGAAAATATGTATGTTTTAATTGCAGGATGTTGAGTACTTTAAAATAAGTTTTAGCTATTATAATCTTAAACTTCTAATGGATACAATGTTTCAATTATTTGACTTTTAAATTCTTAATTGATCTTTTTAGCAGGAAGTGGAAAAAACTGGCCACCATTACCTGCCAAATGCTGTGTTGGACCATGCTTTTACCAAGACATTTCAGTTGAAATTCCTGATGCTTATCAAAGAACAGTCAGAATAGTGTATTATTTGTGGATATGTAAATATACTTTTAGTTAATTTTATAAAACTGTGCTGCTTATTAATTTTCATATTTGTTAATTTATAATCAGTGCCTTATTTTAAATAATTTCTCCACCTTCAAATGAATATATGAGCAAATTTTTTAAATTTAGTCTATAGATCAAATGATTAGCTTTAAAGTTATATAAATTTAAGATTTTTAGCTAGGATGAAATGCATGCTTGCTATTATATTTTTAAATAAATCAGAGGAGAATTGATTAAAGGATGTTTTTGAGCTATTTCTTGACAAATCTGCCCTAAAAGAAGTTCCACTTTTTTGTATTCCACAAGAATTTTTTGTGAACTTTTTAAGGATAGTTAGAAACATGTAGAATATTAAAATATGTTTAAAAACTTATTCATTATGTTGTCATGAGTGCTATTCTCCTTCAACATTATTTTAGTTCATCACAGTGGTGCATGCCTTAAAACTAAAAGTTATTTTATGCATTTTTCTTGATTCTTAATTTAAAATCAACTTTTCTATTCAGTTTTATCTTATGCTTTTCTTATTATTGAAGTTATGTTGCTTGATTTTCAGTTTATACTTTGCTCCTGTTTCTAAATATGTTGGGATCACTTGCTTTATTCATTGCACATAATGAAGGCACAACATTTGGAATTTCCATTTTGGTCTTCTTATTGTTCAGTCCTTTGTCATTTGTATGCTGGTTTCGCCCACTGTATAAAGCTTTCAGGTAATTATTTTTTCTTTAAATTTAAACTATCTGATTTTTAACAAGGCTGTATTGAACAAAGAATGAAATTTTCAGTTTGTTTAGTTTTTAGCTAATAAATGAAATAGATTATTATGTATGAGTAATTTTAAAGCTTGGTTAAGAAAAACAAGCTTTAATGCATATATTTTTTAGTAAACATTTAAAAGGTTTCCTTTTTATAAATATTAAGAACAAGGAAGGAGATTTATGTGTCACTTGCGAATTGAGCTAATTTTATTTATTCATAGAGTTTGAGACTAGAAATTAAAATGTTTTTTTTTCTCTCTTTGCTTCTGAAAATTAAATTTTTTAAAGGTTTGTTATTCTGTCACTAAGTCTCAAATTTAGTCTAAAATTTGATAGAATTATGTTTAGCAGAATTATTTTTAGGTATTTAAGAACTTGAAAACTTTGGGAAAAATATCTCTTTCAGTAAAATAATAGGTGTCTTTAGTTTTTTCTCTCCTATTTTATATGCTAATGTTTCGACTCCGGTAAAACTGTGCTGAATTTTCCCAGTCATGCTCTATTTGTTATGACAAATAAAATCTTTTCACCTCTTTCATTGTTAGAAAAAATTGACAGTTTGCTTTTTTCATTGGTAAAATTATAATAGACATTTTTCTATCGAAAATCAGACAGACCCATAGAATTTTACATATGTGACACATTTGTGATATGTGATATCATTTACCATGAAAACTGCTTATCACCTTGTCAAAAAATGGACTTTATAATCTGTTGAATCTTAATTATTTATCAAAAATATTTTGAATATTTTGATGTCTTGTTTACTTAATTTATAGCTTCTTATGTGTATTTTGAGTTATACAATGAATTTCTGATTTTCATTTCAATAGTTTTCACATTCTTAAGTTGTCTCTTCATTTATGATCTTAATTAATATCTGATGATTCTTTTATGAATAATTGCCTTTATGGATAAATCATTATATTCTTCTTCAGTGCATAGTGAACAAAATGTATTTGTACAATTACTTTTTTTTTGTTTGTTTGCAATATATTTCAGAATGTTGTTTTAATGATTGTAATTAACTTTTTTTTCATTTTTTTAAAAAATTATAATGAATAAATAAAAAAAAGCTTTTCATGTAATAAACTTTTTTTTATAAAAATTACTTTAATATAACTATTTTCTTTCCCACAATTTCAGATCAGACAGTTCATTTAACTTCATGGTTTTCTTTTTTGTCTTTTTCTTCCAATTTGTTGTTGCTGTTTTTTATGCCGTTGGTATTCCTAATATGGGCTCTTGGTAAGATATATATTTTATTTAATTTTCAATGTATAATTAAACTTCTTTACAACACTTTAGCTTCAGTTTTTTGATATCACTTAGCGTTTTATTGTTGAATAAATTACAATATTTAAAAATAGAATTTTAAATACTCTTAAGTTGTATATGATTTCTAACCATTAAAGGTTAAAACAATGCCTAATTAAACTTTTGAAAAGCAAATAATATTCAAAGTTTTGGGCAAATAAAATGTTTGGTGAAATTTTGTCCTCTGAGAATTCATCAAAAGTGAGTGTTATCCACATGGCCACAAAGATCTATTTTAGAGGCAATTTTTAATCTGCAGCAGCAGTCAAAGTTAAATCATTTCTAAAATATATATCGTTTGGATATTTTTAGTCAGTAATGTGTGGTATTTATATAGTTATTGAAGTTTTAAATTAGTATTAAATGAGCTTTTTAAAAAAACTCGCCCTTTTTCGAAATATTATTTGGATTAGATAACGCTATTTTATTCAAACATAAGCATATAAAAGATTTGAAAAAAGATATAATATAGAATTTTTCCTTTTGCAATATATTAAATATTGTATACATTGCTGTTTTTAAAAAGTATTTTTTTTAAATTATTATTTTTGTATTTATGCAACTTTTAAAATTGCTGGTATAATTTTAAAAATTAGATCATTTTAAATGTTATTGTAATAAACCTGTTTTTCAATATTTCTTATTGTGTTCTATAATACGTAATCTAATGTTTAGTAATCTGAGAATATATATTTGTATGTACATCAAGCACTTTTAAAATTCTTTTACAAATTGGGCATTTCTAATAGATTATTTGGATTCGATTAGGGTATGTTATTAGAACCTAAGAAGACATTAAAAAATAATTGCAGAATAATAAAATAGAATTTGTTTTGATATATGCAAATTAAACTGTTGATTTTCAATCAAATATTGTGTACATTTCTGTTTTTGAAAAGGTGCTTATTTATTAAAGCAAATTTTAAAATTGCTGGTGTAATTTTAAAATTTTGTTTCAAATGTTTTTATACGTATTTAATCTCATTCTTTTGTTTTTCAATTTGCTTTGTTGCAAATTTGCTTTTGTTTTCAATGTATCTTATTGTGTTCTATAATACATAATCTACTATTTAGTATTCTTAAAAAAAAATTTTTTTTTTACCCCAAAAAATCAAAAATCAAATCTTTTTGATTTTTTGGGGTAAAGCAAAACTTTTCTCTGTTTTTTACTGCCAAATGAAGAAGTTCTATTCAGTAGAGCACTAGAATCTTTCAGTAGAGCAATATTAATCTTTATTTGGCTTATATAATATCTTTTTTAAACTCTTTATTTGACTTTTTTGTTAAATTTGGCTTAATCTTTTAATAACTTATTCAATTTTCATTGGCAACTAAAACTTCTTATTTTATATTTATAATTCTGCACTTAAAAAATACCTGATTTGATATGAAAAAAAAAAAGATTTTGCGAAATACTTAAAATTATCATTTTTATTTTTCAGTGGCCTTTTGAATGGTATAACCACTTTAAACCAAACTGGAGAGCACACAGTCAGTATTTACACTGTTGGTATTATAGCTATCTTGATTGGATTTGGATGGGCTATTCATGCTATGATTTCTTTTTACATGCTTGTAAAGGTACAGTCACAATTACTTATTTATTGTTTTAAGAGAATATTTTAATGTTTCAGCGTATAGTCTTTAGAGCTGCGATGGCTCAGGGGATAGAGCATTCGCCTTCTAATGAGGTGAACCGGGTTCGAAATCCCAGCGACGACTGGTCGATACGAATTCCGCATCCAGCTTGCACTGACCACAGTGTTGATGTGAAATAACCTCAGTGGTAAGCAGGTCATGGGTTAGAGTCCCCTTGCCGTTAGGTTTCCTCTCCATGCAATGCAAATGCGGGTTAGATCAATTAAAAAGTCCTCCACGAAGGCAAATTTCTCCTAATACTTGATCAGGAGTTCCCTTGTTTTCTGGATTGGGTTCAAGGCGCTGGGCCCATGTCCGAGAGTTCGTGGGTTCAAACCCCGCCGGCCTAAGGCTCCCCGTGTAGTTAGTGACTGATGCACCTTAAAATTCTGTCGAGTCGCAGAGTCCTCCATGTTCCCATAACAAATAAATACCTCTGGGGGTACTGGATTGGAGATCGATTGTTCTCTGATTCAGGCCAAAATTACGATCTGTGGATGAATGAATGGGTCCGCCTTATAAACAGGTGTTATGATGTGGCAGAAGTCGAATTCTTGGCCATAGATGGCGCCACTGAAAAACAAAAATCACTCAATCTGCCTTAAATTTGCTCGGTTTTACCAAGCAGTCTTGCCAGTGTGGCATTAGAACCAACCACCAACCAGGCTACGGAGTTGCACATCAGTAGTTGTAAACCCAAAAATTGGGTCTACTGTTCATCGACGGTTATAAAATATAAAATGTATACTTCTTAATATTAGTTAGATTTTTATATCCTGAATTTAATTTTGTTGTTTATTTATGTTAATTGTTAAATTCATTATTTTTTATGAATTATTAAAATGCTGAATAAAATGCATTGTAATTAAGTTATTTTGTAACTAATTAAGTTTGCAAAAATTATAATAATTTTTCCAAGTAGTGTCCTTTTTAATGATAAAAAAAATATTCTTAACAAAACTGCTATGAATACAGTGTTACATGACCATTGCTCTATGATATCACTACAGTAAATATATCATTCTTCTAAATGGTCAGTTTTATTATTTCAAAAATGCTTTTTTTTCCTGCCACACCCTCTACTAGCATTTAATATTTTAAATATCAATGAACTTTTTTAACTATAAAAAAGGATAAAAAATCTAAAACTTCTGAAGGTTGTTTATTTTACCTATATGAATAAACCGGGTATACTTCCTTATCATTTTTGTTTCATTGTTATAATTTACTGTTACACACGAAAAGTTTTTTTTAACAATGTAAGTTCTATGTTAGAAAAGAATAATAAACATTTAAATAAATTGTTTTAAAATCATGGAAAATTAAATGAAAAAAGACATTTACTTGTATTACAAAATTTGTATTTTAAATAGATTCATCGAATGTATAGAGGAACTACTGCAAGCTTTGCCAAGGCCCAAGAGGAGTTAGCAAGTGGAGTAATGCGTAATCAACACGTTCAAAATGCTGCTGCAGCTGCTGTTACTCAGACTGTCCGACAAGGTTTTAATTCTGGAGCTTCTGGACTGAGATACTAATATTAACAATGGTTATTTTTTTTTCATTTTTTATTAATTTTTCTTTTTTAATTTCACTACATACAATAAACTAATTATTATTGAAAAGTTTTATTTGACTATAAATTCTCAACCTATTTAACTTTTAAAATTACTGATGAAAGTGTAGTTATTATCTTAAGTATATTATTTTACATAACTACAACCAAGAGTATCTCAGATAGTAAAAAAGTTAAAATTAAATAATTGGCTTCCTAAATTTCAAAATATTAAATTGTTAAAAAATTTAATAAATATGAAAACATGCCACTGTTCTAGTAAATACGGTTAAGATATAACTAGTGTTCATAGTTACGTTATGGATTTTTATTCATAGTTCAATGTATAAACCCTTGAATGCTGGTGGGACACCATTGTTCCTTTTGTATATATTTTTTCTTGTTGCTCTAATTACAAGTAAAAATATATTTAGGTGTTTTTTAATCATAAAAAATAATCAATAGGTACTAAAAAACACTAGTATTATCGAAATTATATTTGTGCTAAAATATAAAATCCAAAAAAAAAGTAGTCCAAAAATTTTTTTTTTCATTCATATTCAAAAATTTATCAATAGTTGATTTTGTTAATTAAAGAAATTTTAATGATGAGTTACTGTTTCACTTTGATCTAAATAAGTGCAAATTTGAAAATTGTTGGATGTCAGCCATGTTTGGAAGATTTTACCTTTAATGCAGAAAGGGACAATGGTATAACATACTATATTTTATAACCATATATTAGTTAAATGCTAAATATATTACTTTTACTGATTTTGGCATAATTGACAAAAAACAATAAAAAAAAGCATGAAAAATATTTTTTATGAAAATTCTGCATCAAGAGGTAAATCTGGGTTCTAAACATAGTCGGTTCTTACTAATATTCCACTCCATGTCTGGCCGTCAGCACTTATACTCAGAAATTTTATATAAAAAATGTCTCATTTAAATAGCTAATTTTTTAAAATGATGCAAATTTTAACAAAAACTCAATAATATGAAAAGATTTCGATGTTTTTGTAATGTATAATATTTAAGTAACGCATATCCTTATGTATTAATTTTTCATTGACAATACAATATGTAAATCTTTGTACTAAGCTTAGTAAGCAAAAACTACCGTCAAACTATCAAGATTATATGCCAGAAAGAACATAAATAATTTGCAATAAAGGCTTTTTAAGTTTTAATTATAAAACTATGTTGCTAAATTAAACATAAATTAAGAAGACATGAAAAGACTAAAAAATTCTTGTAATTATGTCAGTTAAATATTAATTGAATTTTTTTCTTTCTGTATTTTAGGTCTTTATCATCAGAAAAAGAGATTTTCTCTCTCTTGTTAGGATCTTATTGAATCTCATATTTCTCATCTTTACTTTGGGAAGAAAAAAACAAATCCGAGTGAATCATGAATCAGTTACATTCCTGTATAATTTTGGTTTTTTTTTCATATTCCCAATCATATCTTTGTTTCTTGTTGCTTACAGATGATTATTGTAATTATTAACAAATGCTAGATGTATTTTTTATTTTCTATTTATTTAGTAATAAATGTTAACAATGTTACCAAAAAACCTTGTCTTTTTCTTTTGCATTTGAGATTATATTGAAGGCTAATTTAACAAATATTCTTATCTTTTTCTAAAAAGAATAACATTACATAAATCATCACAATGTTATTATCCTTTATAAATATATCTAAGTTGTAATCTGAAGCATTTTTTGCAGCACTTTTAAAATTGTAATATAGTAACTAAAACAGAAGCAGTCTTAATTATAATTTTTTTTTAAAATTTGGATATTAAGTTTTGTCCCATATTCTTTTGAAAAAGCAAACTATTAAAACTTTTTTACATATTAAATTCTCTAAAAAGTAGCTTTTTAGAAAGCATTTCCTCGAATAATACAGGATATAATAAAATAATTTCACTAGCTTACACACCCTACAAAAAAAACAATAAAATTTTGAACTAAGGTATGCACTCAAGAACAGTGTTGAAAATGATTATCTAGCCCTTATGACAACAGTTACAAAATTCTGAAAGTTTCATTTCGATGCACTTACTTTTTTGATTGAAATCTGATCAACCTAAACCTGAAATGAAGTTGAAACCAAATTTTTATCAAACAAAAAAAAAAAAAGCAGAGTCAGGTAGAAATGAAGAAAATTATATTTCATAAATTTTCATGTCAGCAATTCAGCTCTATTGAGATGCCCTCTGACGATATTGGAAAGTTAAATGCAGTGATTTATATGCTGCCCGTTACTGTTTTTATCTAAAAATGTTCCAACATCATTTTATGTTTTTTAATAGTGAGGATCGTGCTTCAATGAGAAAAAGTGTTGTTGTCTTTTTAAATTCTGTCAATGTGAGAGCTGAATAATCACTTTTAATATTCACGAGAACATACCAAATAATAATTTTATTCAATTTTTTTCCTTTCTTTTTAATGGTAGGCTTATCTGAAGATCATATGTTGACAAAGTCATTTTATAATTACCCTAAGTTTGTTTTCCAGAGTGTCTTTTTTTTTCCAGGAAATTTTCTTATCTTTAAGTGAGTTATTCGAGTACTATTGATTTATTGAAGAATATATGTTACACAATAAAGACAAAGGATAAAAAGAAAAGGGAGAAAATTAAGAAATAATATATCAATAAAAATCGTAAAACAACAATTCATCAATATTGTAAAAAAGAAAAAAAGAATGTTGTGTTTCAAGCCAACCAAAAACTTTTTATTTCAACAAATTTATAGCATTTTGTACATTGTCATTACTATATGTGTGCTTTAAAACCTTACTTCATGGTGAAATGGGTTTCTATCCCAATAATTTGGGCAGATTGTGGTTTGTTATTTGGATGCTGAATATCAGCTAACATAAAAATGTCAATTCATTCTTCCATCATGTTCCCTTGTTGCTTTTAGGACGCTGAGTGTTACTCGATGGTCCCTTGCAACTGCGTTTGTGTACTGCTAAACGATTTGGGAAGAAAGTCCTTGAGCAGAGTGGACAGGGGACAAGTTGTTGCAGATGGTTCTCCCAGGCATTGTCCCCTAATTCAATGATGCTTGTCATGTCATCATCTGAAACAAAATCTATTCATTATTAGGCAATAAAATAGCCATTTAATGATCACATTTACATTTGATTTTTAATTTATAATGAATTATTAAAAATTTGAAGAAAATTATTTTTAAATTTATGTATGTATTTACTTAAAATTTATGCAAATATTTACTCTTAGGTGGAGAAAGCCTTATAGTTCTATTTGCTGTTGAGATAGATGCTTTAAGAATTATTTTATAAAAGATGCTAAAAAAATTCCTAGCTTCAAACTGTGACAATAAATTAAACAATATATACAATAATTAACGCAGAATTTTTACTAAGTATATTTTTCCTATTTTTTTCGTTATTTTGTATTAATTTAGATCGAAATAAGTGAAAAATATTGTATTTTAGCATCTTAACAATTTTTTGGTGATGAAATATAGCACGGGACACCGGTGTTTCTTTTTGCGTTAAATGTAAACTTCTTCCGAACATGGCCACTTTGAAACAATTTTTCAAATTTGCAGTTATTTAGATCTGAAAGAAACAGTTATTCATTATTAAAACTTCTTTAATCTACAAAATCAATTGGTAAATTTTTGAATAAGAATGAAAAAAAAATTTTTTTTCAATTTTCTTTTTTGAGTTTTTATATTTTAGTACAAATATAATGCCTCTAATCTAACATTATTTTTAGTAACTATTACTGTTTTTTATAGTTAAAAAATACCAAAATATATTTTCGCTTGTAATTAGTGCATCTGAAAAAGTATATAAAAGAGACACTGACTACGTCAAAGAGATAAAACATTAATTGGTGTAAATTAGTTAATTTCATTGAATTTATTTGTAGTGAGGATTTATTACAGCTGAAAAATTCTGTAACATTGAAGAAAATTTTTATTTTGTTTTATTTCGTACTTTAACAGTTATTTCTCACCTGGAGATCCATCTGAATCTCTTTGGGGCTCTTCTTGTTGCTCATCATCTGGTAGTTTGTCATTTTCCCTTCTCCATTTTCTTAGACATTGCTGTTCGTGCATTGATATCACCCAAGAACCATAACTGCGACCACAGATATAACAGGGTACATAAACTGCTGCTCTTTGCTCCTCCTACAAAATACATGATAGCAAGGCTTAGGCTTTAAAAAAAAAAAACAATAGTTGGAAAGCTTAGCCAAAGAGAACATTATTCGCCATTTGGAAAACAATACAATTTTCTACGTTTAAAAAGATTTTTCAAAAGATATATAGTACAAAATAATTCGTTCCCTTACATTTTTAATTAGGGCTGTAATATTGATCAAAAAGCGGCTAATCTAAAAAATAATATATGCTGGATTAAGCTGCTAGTTGGATATTCACTTTTTGAGTAATTCTGTTTGCGTGCCAAAACTATAGTGAAATTATAAAACTTGAAGCGAATATAAAATTCTACCTTAACTTAAGTGGTTGTCGAAAAATTTTTTTTTAATTATATGAATTTTTTAAAATCTTTTCTTAGGCTGTAGCATAAACAAATTGCATCACATTTAAAATTTTTTCTATAATCTTTCAACAAACAATTTAATTATTTTAATGTTCTATGTTGCTATACGAAAATCTGATAATTACATTACAACTATTCTAATGTTCCGTTTTTTTTTATATACTATTCAATGTATTAAAAATAAATTAATAAACGTTGCATGTTTTGAAGTAGTTTTCTTTAAATTTAATAATCGGTTTTTAACAATGATTGAAATTATTTTGAATTATAAATCATATTTCTGAGCTGTGTTAAACTATGTATTTTTGTATACCAATTTGAAATAAAATTTTTAATTAATAGGAAATTTTTCATTTTTTCTAAACTTGCATCTTTTTATGTAATTTTCGATTCCAAAATTTGAAATAAAATCATCTAAAATATTTCCAAGCAGTAAAACAATTAAAAAAAGTCTCAATTTTTTTTATTCACATTTTTCCGAGTACTATCCAAACTATTTTGAATTTGACATTCAATCGCTCAACCTCTCCCCTAACCAATACGTTTCCGAAATGTGTCGACCCCTGATATTTTGAGAGTCAGGAATCAGAATAGGTAGGGAAAAAAAATGTTTATTCATTAGCGTTTCCCTTGAAACGCAGTCTTCGTATGTAAAAATCCAATTGTTAGATCAAAAGTTAGTCAGTTCAATCTTCTTTTTTCCCCCAGTTCAATCTGATATTTTGAGAGTCAGAAATCAGAATAAGTAGAAAAAAATGTGTTTATTCATTAGAGTTTCCCTTGAAACACAGAGATTACGTCTTAGTATGTAAAAATCCAATTGTTAGATCAAAAGTTACATAGTTCAATCTTTTTTTTCCAGTTCAATCTGATATTTTGAGAATCAGAATAAGTAGGAAAAAGTATGTTTATTCCTTAGCTTTTCCCTTTAAACACAGAGATTTCGTCTTAGTAGGTAAAAATCCAATTGTTAGATCAAAAGTTATTCAGTTCAATCTTTTTTTTTCAGTTCAATCTGATATTTTGAGAGTCAGAAATCAGAATAAATAGAAAGAAATATGCTTATTCATTAGCGTTTCCCTTGAAAAAGAAATTGCGTCTTAGTATGTAAAAAGTTATTCAGTTCAATCTTTTTTTTTTTTCAGTTCAATCTGATATTTTGTGAGTCAGAAATCAGAATAAGTAGAAAGAAATATGTTTATTCATTAGTGTTTCCCTTGAAACAGAGATTGCGTCTTAGTATGTAAAAATCCAATTGTTAGATCAAAAGTTATTTAGTTCAATCTTTCTTTTTTTTCAGTTCAATTTGATATTTTGAGAGTCAGAATAAAAACAAAAAATTTGTTTATTCATTAGCTTTTCCCTTGAAACACAGAGATTGTGTCTTAGTATGTAAAAATCCAATTGTTAGATCAAAAGTTATTCAGCTCAATCTTTTTTTTCAGTTCAATCTGATATTTTGAGAGTCAGAAATCAGAATAAGTAGAAAAAAATAAGTTTATTCATTAGAGTTTCCCTTGAAAAAGAAATTGCGTCTTAGTGTGTAAAAATCCAATTGTTTGATCAAAAGTTATTCAGTTCAATCTTTTTTTTTTCAGTTCAATCTGATATTTTGAGAGTCAGAAATCAGAATAAATAGAAAGAAATATGCTTATTCATTAGCGTTTCCCTTGAAAAAAAAATTGCCTTCCCTTGAAAGAAAAGTATGTAAAAAGTTATTCAGTTCAATCTTTTTTTTTTCAGTTCAATGTGATATTTTGTGAGTCAGAAATCAGAATAAGTAGAAAGAAATATGTTTATTCATTAGTGTTTCCCTTGAAACACAGAGATTAATTCTTAGTATGTAAAAAACCGATTGTTAGATCAAAAGTTATTTAGTTCAATCTTTCTTTTTTTTCAGTTCAATTTGATATTTTGAGAGTCAGAATAAAAACAAAAAATTTGTTTATTCATTAGCTTTTCCCTTGAAACACAGGAGATTGTGTCTTAGTATGTAAAAATCCAATTGTTAGATCAAAAGTTATTTAGTTTAATCTTTCTTTTTTTCCCAGTTCATTCTGATATTTTGTGAGTCAGAAATCAGAATAAGTAGAAAGAAATATGTTTATTCATTAGCGTTTCCCTTGAAACAGAGATTGCGTCTTAGTATGTAAAAATCCAATTGTTAGATCAAAAGTTATTCAGTTCAATCGTTTTTTTTAATTATTTTGGACAAATTTGAAGATTTGTTTTCAATTGAATCGAAATTTGTTTCTATATATTTAATGAAACGGAACTAAACATTTAGAATTTTACCCCATTTCTGGATGAAGCCGATTGCTCTCTCATTGAAGAAGCTCTTTTTAAGGGACGCTGGCTAGATTTGCCTTTGCAGACCCTTCTGTGCACAGGTAATCTCTCTGGAAAGAATGTTCGAGTACATAATGGGCAAGGAATTAATTGTGATTGTACTGATGTCCAGGCAGGGTCAGCTTCATCTGATGTTGGCATTTCATCTTCTTCTGGTCTGCGTGGTGGCAGTTTACGTAGATTTGGCGTCAACGAATTGTTCGTCTTTTTCCAGCTCTGTAAAGAACAGAAAATATATAAGTTTACTAATCAGAATACAAATCTAAGGAAACATAATTTAATTTTTAAAAAGTTGTTGTATATTGATATCAAAATGCATTTTGTTTTACAAATAATAGAGACGACTTTTTCGTTTTAGTGAAAAATGGTGATTTTTTAAACATATTTTCATTGCTTTTATAACTAAAAAAATACTTCATCATAAAGTATCTAAAAGTTTACTTTTAATTACATCTTCGAGGACTATTTTCATTAGGTACTTTATATCCCATTTTCTCTTCATTAACTATACTGTTGAGGAGTACTGCAGATTGCGAAGAAACTGTATCATTACGCCCAACAGTTACTGGGTCACATTTCACCATAGGGAAAATTGTCAGTATGGAGATATGTTAACCGATGTAATAAAGCTAAGAAGTATTGTTTTTTTTCTTCTTCTATTTTATCTTAAGATAGAAGGTTATTTGAATAATAGTGGTTTCACTTGTATTTAGTAACATTTTTAATTTCAAAAAGTGTTTTCTTTTAAATTTTTTTTAATTTTAAAAATTGATTTCTGAATGTCTTCTGAATTGGGTTCAAAATTACAAGGTTACGAAGTTGAACATTGGTAGTCGTAAACTCTAAATTGATCGGCTGCTCAATGACGGTTATAATATAAAATAAACAAGTACCGTTTATTTTAAATTAATTAGTTTTATAGGATCACGTCTAAAAAGCTTTAATTATAAACAAAATAAACAGATGGCTTCATATAAATTCAGGAATACTAATTTAGTGACGTAGTCTGCCTATTATACCACGTTCCCGTTGATCATTGGATTGAGTTGACACAACGAATAATATTTTATTTTAAATTAATTAGTTTATTTTAAATTAATTAGTTTTATAGGATCACGTTTTAAAAGCTTTAATTATAAACAAAATAAACAGATGTCTTCATATAAATTCAGCAATACTAATTTAATGACGTAGTCGCTGCCTATGATACCACGTTCCCGTTGATCATTGGATTGAGTTGACATAACGAATAAAAAATAATTTGATACAATAGAACGCTCATTTTTCAATGAAAGCTATAAGGTAGAAAACAAGACTATCGTTTTAAAAAGATTTTATGAAGAACGGAATCGTTTGCCATATAATTTTTATAAATGACGAATAAGAATAAATATTACGAAGTAAGAATGTTGTAATGGCGACAGTGACCTTCGAACTATCAGTATTCATCGTTCTCGGTCGAACGAACTAGGAATCTATATGGGACAGACATTCAATTTTCGATACATAAATTTGATATCATTGTTTGTATTTATGTATTTATATCATTCTGTTATTAATAACGTTGCTTTCAGTTAAAATAAAATAATAACAATAATAAATATCATATTTCATTTAAAAAGATTTGTCCATAAAGAAAATTTATTAGATTCATAAAAATACTTAAATTTAAGGTCAACTTGGTAAAAATTTTTGAGTAACAACACTCGTGATAGCTATCGTTACTTAACTATCGATTATTGTCGTCATTCTCTTTTCAGTGAAAACAGAAAGTGTAGAACATCGTATCTTGGCAACTTTGCAATGTGATGTAGCCAATTTGACTCTTTACATTCCTTTGTTTAAAATGTAGTTAGAAAGTCAAATTTCCAATCATTTGGTATGACTCATCTAACAACCAGCGATACAGTAAATAAAAAGAAGTATTGTAATCGTACCAATATTAGTTATTTCTTTCAATTTTAAAATTTTACTTAGATTATGTCGAATTTAAAGAAACACATTCATTATAATTTAGTGGCAAATTGAACCTTCTTTACCTGAAAATAGTTTGCGCAAGTGATGCAGAACAGAGGTTAGCTAAATTTTTAATCTAAAGCCGCTCTGCATGGCTATTTATAATGACACCGTATATATATATATNAAATATATATATATATTGTCAAAAAAAGTATAGATATTAGAGGTAGCGAATTAATATTTAAGCAAGGAAAAAAAATACTTTTGAAATTTATCTAATAACTTCTCGGATAGATGAGATTGAACACATTATAATCAACTTGATTGACGAAAGAAACAGGGAGGAATTGAAAGCTATTAAATCTCCAAAAGCTCCATCAGGCAATGAAACTGGTTCCCAGTTTTACTCAATCCCACGCTTGACAAATTTATGATTTCAGTGTGGTGCTAACCATATTTTAGCTATGTTTTCGTCTGATGAACTGACGAACCACAGATCTATAATTATTTTTTTCTGTATTGAGCTGGAAATTTTGAAACTGATTTTGACTTTATGTGTTATGTTGATTTCAAATATGCAAAAAGTTTTTCTCGTTCAACTGTACTTTCCGGGGTTTAACACAGCTAAATAGTTTAAGTGTAGCTAGGCTGAGTATACTCAAAAGTATTGTTGAATTTCTGAGAGTTAAGTTGAATCTCGTAGTGAAAAAAGATTGCTTTGTTATTTGAAATTCATGCCGCAAAATATAGTCGAAATCAGTTTGAAAGTTCCAAACAACAAACATACATCGACCACAGTGCTGACGTAAAATATCCTCAGTGGTAAACGGTTCATAAGGTAGAATCCCCTTGCCACCTGGCTAACCGTGGGAGGTTTTCATGGTTTTTCATTCAATGTAACGCTATTGCGAATTAGTTCCCTCAAAAAATTCTCGACGAAGGCTAGTTTGCCCCAATGCTTGATCAAAGAATTCCTTTGTCTTTTGGGTTGGGTTCAAAATTACAAGATTACGGATTTGAACAGTAATGGTCGAAAACTCAGAATTGGGTCGGCTGTTCCACGTCTGTTATGAAGTAAAATAAAATGAAACCAACAACAAACATAGTATTTTTTGCAGAACTTTGAAAATAACTTTCTTCAGAACTTAGTTGTTTTAAATCTCTAAGAGTACAAATTTTTGAGGTAAATTGCTCACACTTTTGAAATGACAACTCTAAAATCAATCAGGAACTACTCAATTATCAAACTCAGAATCGACTAAAAATAGCAAAGCTGGGAGTTGTTAAAATATTTACAATAAAAGAAGCATTTTAAATTTAATCTTTTCTTAAGCCTGAAAATAATAGCAACTTTTTTCCCTTAAAAACCACAGATGTCCAGAGTGTTCTGCGATCACTGCCCTTGATATTTAGAATCCTTGTAAAAACGGTAGTTAAAAATATATGCAGTTATTATTTGTTGCAAATTAATATTTAAGTGAGGGAAAAGCAAAAACACTATAGTAAATTGAAGAATCACTATTGAGAAAAACAGGTTTTAAGACACTAAAAGCTGCTTGAAGAAACAGGCGGGAGTTGATTATTAGAAATACCTCCAAGCTTCACAAAATAGTCAAACTAGTTAAGATGCTCTTCATTTCGCCTTCCTCAATAGTGATCTGCCGCATTTGAATAGAGTTTATTGCTTTCTCCTCGCCTAAACACGACCCTAATACGTTCTGTGATTTCATATTTAGCAAGCCATAAATTTCATTTTTAACTATAATAACATGTGATTACGGAACACGTATTATACGGTGTTAAAATATAAATTTTTTTTTCTGAATATTTTACTTCGCGAGCATCACGATTTGTTCAATTTTGAAATCCCATGCATCAACCAGAGAGCTATAATAATGTTTTTTTTTTAAAAATTTTCTTCACGTCAAAATATTTATTTTACAAAAGAAATAATTAAAATTTAAATAAAATTTAATTATTCTCACGTTTTTAGGAAATTAATTAAACTACATTTTACGTAAAAAATGTTTATAATTAATTTGAGATTTTTAAAGCTTTATTCATAGATGTAGGTAGTTTCCCCAAATAAAAATTTCTTATTTTTTGGGAGTGAAGTTGTTTTCCATTTATGTCTTCCTTGTTCAGCTCTATTTTAGCAAAATAAAAACTACAAGAATTGCTAGGAATAAAATTGTTCTACGAGACCTTACACCGATTCTTTCAGCATCTATTTTATATACATGGGTAAGTTTTTGGATTTTATATATATATATTTATATTTTCGGAAACTCGATTAAATTTTTCATAAGTATTTATAAATTTGAAAATATTCATAATTTGTTTGCTGAAAAATTTGTAATGAAATGAACAGAAAACTAATTGTGTGGCATTTAAAAAAGACGAGTTTTCGTGCATTGAGAAGTTTCGGTCGAAATTTTTTTTTAAGATTCCTGTCATTTTCAAACATAGAATTTAGGTGACAAAAATTGGATAAATGAAAAAATAGTGCACATTTTAAAAAAAATAATTTGTAACATGCTCTCAGACGGAACAAGTACTAATCTTTCGAGGGAAACACAATTATATGATTCAATTTAATATAAAATAAAATATTCAAAAAAATTATACTTAAATTAATAAAAATACCATTTTTAAAATGAAAATCTTGTCTCGGAAAAAGAAACGAGTTTAAAATTTGTAAATTGCTAATTTTTGTAAGAACGTAGTAACGAGTCGTATTCTCGTTATTTATATAAGCCTTAGCACATTTTAAGAAATTATTCAAGCAAGACTCTTTGTTCTCACAAACAAAATTCAAATTTTTGAACCTGTCACAAATACGTTTTCTCTAATGCGCAATCGTAAGTACAAGGTATGCATCAGGTGGTATTCAATTGTTGAAATTTTGACGTTTTGCATTCAACAAATAAACAATTCTAACGGTTGCATAATATGTGTGACAGCAAGATTTTTATTGTACAGTCTGTTCTAAAATTATTCATCAGTGATTCATTTATTGGGATGATTTCCATTCCCGCAAAATTTAAGATCAACGCCCTTCATCTTCATGCACTTGGAATTCTTCCAACCTGAAATCAAAAATGGCGCTTGACGACGTCAGCATTTATGAACTTCGATCGTTTTCTTTTTTATTTAAGGTTGTTGTCCCTAATGTTAAAAGTATGTACAGGCGAATTTTATACTCATATTTTCTGTAACAAATGCTATGGAATCAGTATACGGATTAAATTAAATTA